GGAGGGGGGGCCCCCGGGGGAGGGGGGGCCCCCAGGGGGAGGGGGCCCCTCCCCGCAGCGGGGAGGGGGGCCTGCAGCAGCCAAGCTGCCGCAGCTGCCGCTGCTGCTGTAGGCAGCCGGAAGCGACTGCTGCTGCTGCTGCTGCAGCACGAAGTGCTGCTGCTGCAGCGCGAACTGCTGCTGCTGCTGCTGCTGCAGCGCGAACTGCTGCAGCGGCTCGAAGCCGCGAGAAGACCCGTCAAAGATCTCCTCGTCTGTGTCTTCGTCGTAATAAGAAATCGGGGGGCCCCCAAAGTCGGGGCCGGCGGCGGCGCCGCGGGGGGCGGAGGGGGGCCCCCGGCTTTGTTTGGAAAGCATTCCAAGTTGCTGCAAGTTGCAAACAGAAAGTCCAAAAACTCAACTCAAGTCCCAACCCCGCCACTGCTGCTGCTGCTGCTGCTGCTGCTGCTGCTGCTGCTGTTGCTGCGGTCTCAGTGTCACTCGCGGGAGTGGCAGGCAGCAGCAGCGCAGCACAGGTTTCCCTCAAGAGATCTCGCCTGTCTTTGCTGGGCTTTTCCGCTTATATTCATTTTAAACGCTTTCCAAGCAGCAACAAAACAATTCCGCGCTGCACTGCTGCTGCTGCTGTGGTGCTGCTGCTGCGCTGCTGCTGCAGCAGCAGCAGCAGCAGCCCCCGGCGAGGCGGCTCGCGCGGTGTTGTTTGTGTCTTGCTGCTGCTGCTTGCCTGCTGCTCCCTCCGTGCCGCGGCGCGAGTCCAAATGCATCTCTTTTAAATAAAAAAGAAATAAAAAGTCTAATGCAATTCAAAAAACAAAAAACTATTTAATTTAAGAAAACGCAAACTCCTCTCCCCAGTCGGAGCACTCCCGGAGCCGCCTCCGGTCTGCAGCAGACACCGGACCAGCGTGTGCGTACGTACACCTGAATGTCCAGGGAGGTTGGAAGTGCAATTTAGGTTTTAATTGACAAATAAATATAAATTTAAATTTGTTTGAATGTTATTTGGGGAGTTTTCCGCCATTTGGGCTGTGCCTCTTCTCTCTTCGCCGCCAGTCGGTGCTGGACTGGCTTTCTAGACAGACACGCAGCAGGTGTACGTACACCGGGAGTGTTGCACGCACTCGATAATGGATAAATGGACTTTCTGGAGATTAATTTAAACATTTTTATTTTATTTCATGTTTTATTTTCCGTAATGTGCAGCCAATACGTGGGCTTACTTCTCATCGGGCCAGCTTGGGACACCGACCGAGTCACCTCCCTCCCTAGCTACAAAGCCAGCTGCAGCAGCAGCAGCAACAGCAGCAGCAGCAGCTGCTGCTGCTGCTGCTGCTGCTGTTGCTGCAGCGAAATGGGGGAAATGAATGCCTTAGAGTTGCAAATCTGTGTCTGCGCGCACTTTCGAAATACTTGAATGTAAATGCCCCAAGAAGAGGCCATTTATGTTCAAGTGTTTCAAAAGAGTCTTCATAAAATGGCTTATTTGTCTTTTTATTTTTCCAATTTTATATTTTCATTAAAACTTCTACAAAGCCTTTTGGGGGCACTTCCCTCAAATTCAAATTCAAATTTATTTGCAAAGAGACGCGCCGCAGCCACCGCTGGACTTGTCCTCAAATGAAGTATAAATGCATAAAAATAGAAACAGAAATAGAAATATAATTAATTTAATTAATTGCAATTTTGGATTTAAATTCAAAGTTAAATACAAATTCAAATTCATTTTTAAATTTAGTGGAATTGCAAAAACCTCTCTTTGGAGTGCAGCACGTGGAGGAGTTATGCCACTACTTTGCTTTATATTTATTTGAAAATATATCTCTAATTATTTACTTTTATTTGTTTTTATAAATATATATTTATATTTACAAATATGTATTTATATTTATATTTATATTTATATTTGTAGATATAATTATAAATATAAACAACTCAGTTCTGCAACTGAAGAGCTCCGAGCTCCATTTATTTCTCATTTGCAACAAAAGAAAAATCCACTTCAAGAAAAACGAAGTGTCCCTACGGGGACGCTCTTCAAGTGCTGGCTAGCTGCAGCTAGTTGCAGCTAGCTGCAGCTAGTTGCAGCTAGCTGCAGCTAGTTGCAGCTAGCTGCAGCTAATTGTTGTTGTTACCTGTGGTTATCTGCGGCTAGCTGCAGCTAGCTGCGGCTAGTTGCAGTGACCTGTGGCTAGCTGCGGCTACCTGTGGCTAGCTGCGGCTACCTGTGGCTAGCTGCTGCTACCTGTGGCTAGCTGCGGCTACCTGTGGCTAGCTGCGGCTACCTGTGGCTAGCTGCGTTGCAGCAGCCGTTTAAGCTGCGGCTAGCTGGCGGAGGGGCGCCTAGCCGCGCAGACGGGCCGCCCCTCTGCTGCTGCTGCTGCTGCTGCTGCTGCTGCTGCTGCTGGGCGTGGGTTAGCTGCTGCTGTGGCGGTGAGCCCCGCGAGCAGCAAAGTGGCAAAGAAGCCTCAGACCCCCCGGTTGAAGACTGCCTTGAGAATTGGTTTTCCGTCTTCTTCTGCTTTTTCCTGAATCTCCTTTTCGAGTTCAGAAATGGAAATAGTGCAGGAAGAAGGGAATATTCCAACGGCGAGCGGCAGCCCCAAGTTCAGACAGCCGTAGACGACGCTCAGCTGCGTGGAAACCTGATTGGAAACGACGGAAAAGCCCGGAAAAAAAGCATTCAAAATGCAAAAAAAGACATTTAAAATGCAAAAAAGGATATTTAAAACGCAAAAATGATACTTTTAGTGCAAAAAATCGAAGAAATCCACAAGATCGGATGGCCGGAACCAGCTCGCGACAAACCCCCGAGAGGAAACCAGCCCGGCGATCTGCTCAGAACTCCGAAAAAAAGATCCGCCGCACCTTTAAAAAGGAATTTGAACATAATTTCGGAAATAAAACATTAAAAAAGGATATTAGTGGGCCCGGAAGCAGCAGCAGCGGAATCGGCATCACTGAAGGAACGCACAACCAGAAAGCACACCGCAGCCCCCAGGTGTACGTACACCTCAGCAACGGACAAGCAAGCGGCGCCACTGAATAGAAACGTGGGGAATGCCTAGCTGCTGCTGCTGCTGCTGCTGCTGCTGCTGATGCTGCTGCTGCTGCTGCTGCCGACTGCTGCCTTCCGCTCGTGGGGTGTTTCCTTTCCCGTCTTTCCTCATCCCCATTCCCCACCACCAAAGCCCTCCCCAGCTGTACCCTCCCCGCACTAGGGGGCCCCCCAGGGGCCCCCCAGGGGCCCCCCAAGGGTCCTCCAGGGGCCCCCCAGGGGCCCCCAAGAGGCGCCCCAGGGGCCCCCCAGAGGCGTCCCAGGGGCCCCCCAGGGGCCCCTGCGTGGGGGGCTTAAATTGATTGGGGAAGAGAACTGAGTGGGAGGGAACTCACCAACTCTGGAAATAGCAGTTTGAGTGACAGCTTCAAGTCCAGCTCGTTTTGAAATTCCGAGAAGTGTTCCTTTTTCGGAGTAGACGGGAATTCCCTGAGTGTACGTACACCGCAGCGGGGGAGAACTGCGGAGTTTTGAATCCGAAATAAAATTCGGAAAAGATTTAAAACTGCTTACTTGGGAACACTCCTGCCAACGCATCAGCAGCAAATTGGCAGCATTTGCTGCTGCAACAGAAGCAAAAGGAACTGCCCCCTGCAGCAGCTGCTGCACCAACTGTGGGGCCCGCAGCCGCCGCACCCACGAATTCAGCCCCACAGCCAGCCCCACAGACACCACAGCTGCTGCGCTGCAGCAGCAAACAGCAAGCAGCAAGCAGCAAGCAGCAGCCATCAAGCAGCAAGCAGCAAGCAGCAGGCAGTGACAAGCAGCAAGCAGCAAGCAGCAAGCAGCAAGCAGCAGGCGGTAACAAGCAGCAAGCAGCAAGCAGCAAGCAGCAGGAAGCAAGCACCAAGCAGCAAGCAGCGAGCAGCAGCAGCAGCAGCAGCAGCAGCAGCAGCAGCAGCAGCAGCGCAGCTCCCGAAGGCTTTTCAGGGCGTTCTTGTGAGAAAAGTAGTTTAAGGAGAGAAACCTTTTATTTTCGGAATTGAATTTGGGACTTTTTGGATTTGTTGAGTTAGTTGGAAGCAGCAGCTTGTGCTGCAGCAGCAGCACTTGAATGTGGAGAAGTCTGTTGCAGCAGCAGCAAGAGTCACCTGTAGCCGCGGAGAAGGTTTTGCTGCTGCTGCTGCTTATTTGCTTCTCCACTTTGGTTTCCATTTGCATAATTAAAAGCTGCATTATAAGTCTGGTTCACCCACTGCCACAAAATGCTGTTCCCCACTGTGGGCGCGCTGAAAATTAGGCCTGCGAAACAGCAAAACAGTTCATACCTGGTGCTGCTGCTGCTGCTGCTGCTGTTGCTGCTGCTGCTGCTGTTGCTTCTGTTGCTGTTTCTGCTACTGCTGTTGCTTTGTTGCTGTTGTGGTTGGTGCTGCTGCTGTGGGTTCTGTTGCTGTTGGTTCCGCTGCTGTTGCTGCTGCTGTTGTTGCTGCTGCTGCTGCTGTTGCTGCTGCTGCTGCTGTTGCTGCTGCTGCTGCTGCTAGCTGCGGCCGCGGCGGGGGGAAAAGACGCACCAGCGCAGATGGGAAGGTTGACGGGGGCGAAGGCGGAGAGGCGGAGAGGGAGAGGAATGATATCTCCGGTGCTGCTGCTAACAGAAGCATTAGTGAGGGCTATTTGGTATTTGAGTTCTTTTGGAGAAATGTTTTGCTGCAGAAGTTCCCTCCATTTGCCGGAGTCCGCGAGAGCCTTCACTTCTTTGGCCTTTTCAATTTCAGCTTTCGAAGCAAACATGAACCGCGGATTCATGCAATCCCGAAACGAACGCACGCGGCCCCAGTAGCTGTTCTCGGGCCTCGCCGCCTCCTGAAGGGCTTTTTCAAGAGCCAATTCAGTTTCCATTTTATTTCGGAGATTTACAAAAGGTAAGAAGAGCTGCAGTTCGCACACATGTGCCCAATAGGCGCGGTCCGCTGGGCTTACTTCTGCACACGCCCGCTGCGGATGTCTTGGCGCTGTAGGCGGCGCTGCCGCGGAGTCGCTGTATGCTTAGTAAAAATGAAAAGGGAAAATGCACTCTAAGACCTGAAAATAAATGATTAGCTGTAACGCGCATAAAAGGGAGAGGGCTGAGCACACTGTGTAGCATGCGGCACTGACGCTGCGTGTACGCCGCGAAGGCGGAGGCAGCAACCTGCAATTTCTGAGTTTAATACTGAAAAAAGGAGTTTTCTTCGAGATAATATTGCGAAATGCAATATGCACTAAGATATATCTTGAAAAGGCCAGGCGACGCTCTATCGCCGTTGGGGCTGTGGTCATGCGAGAAGCTCTCGCTGCCGTCCCATCATCAACGGCGGGAACGGGCTGCTGATCTTGCAGGTTTTTGCGGTTGGCTTGGCGATTTAAAGATATTGAGAATTGTAAAAACGGAAAAGAAACATAAAGCACGCCTTGAAAGGGCAGCGGAAGAGGTTTTTCGCCGGGTTTCCCCATCCTGAACAGCAGCCGAGCCGCGCGAGGATGTTTTGGTCAGCATTTCTTCAATGCGACCCCAACTCGGTCTTCTTCGGGTTTATGGGGATTACTTCGGCAATAGTTTTCGCAAGTAGGTTAAAGTTCGGCGTCGAGTTGTTCGGAGCCTCCCCGGGAGCCGGACAAGGGGGTGGCTGCAGGGGTGTAGGGCTGCTCGTTCAACTCTGCGAACTCAACACATCACCCAAGAGGCCATTTCCCCTTTGAAATTGCCTTCTAGCCTTCGCAGCTGCCCTTCTGTCGGCCCTGAGCCGGCACTCCAGGGCTGGACACGAGGGCCCGGCGCGCAGCACGGAAGCGGCGCTGCTGCAGCCTCTTGTGGCTAGTTTTGGCTGGGATCTGTCCGTGGGGGCCTCCCGTGCAGCAGGGGGAGTTGAAAGGAAAAGAGCTGCTGCTGTGGCGGCCCAAGGGGCGGGTCTTTTCCGCTGCTTTCCCTCGAATTCGCTGCATGCGCTTCTCGCTGCTGCTGCTGCTGCTGCTGCTGCTGCATGCAGACCTCGGCGCGGCCTATGGCACTGCCAAGAGCGGCGTGGGCGTTAGCAGCGTCGGAGTGATGCGCCCAGACCTAATTATGCGTTCCATTTTGCCGGTCATTATGGCGGGTATTTTGGGCATTTACGGGCTCATCATATCCATTGTCATTTCGTCTGTCAGTGAGTTCCCGCTGCTCGGAAACTTGCAAAATCCCGGAAACTGGGCCCCAAAGACCATTTGTCGAGTTCTCTTCAACTATTTTCACCTCTAAGTTTCTTTATTTCTATTTATTCCGCGGCTCTTTTGCGGGTTTTCTGTGTGTTTCTGCAGTGGGCTCGCCGGACGTCTACTCGGCTTACGCAGGTGCTGTGGCTTCCCGCTGCCGCTTCCAGCTTCGCTTTCTTCAAATTAAAGCCAAATTTGACCCTTTTTAGCTCAATTATTACAATTATATCGAGACAGAATCTGTGAGGAACTGAAATGGGAGTCACCGGCTGCTTCCGCTGCGCTTTCAGGCTTCGGCCATTTGGCTGGCGGGCTGGCAGTGGGTCTCAGCTCTCTGGCTGCAGGTCTTGCAATTGGAATAGTGGGAGACGCGGGTAAGTCGAATCGACTTTAAATAGTTTATTTTCATTTATATTTCTCTTTGAATCGCCGCGTCTTGTTTGAATTTCCTGTTTCTGACTCCGCAGCGTTGCTTTCTCGAGTGTCTGTTCAACTTTTGAATCCGCAGGTGTGCGCGCCAATGCCCAGCAGCCCAAGCTGTTCTTCGGTGTTACTCTTATTCTCATTTTCGCTGAGGCCATTGGACTTTACGGTGAGTTTTGATATTCCATCAAAATATATATTAGTTTCTTTGCGGGGCATTGGCTGCGACTTGAATTCGGGCTTTTCGCGTTTTGCTGCTGAGGCAAAGAGGCCGCGCCGCGGGGTGTTCGTTCAGGTCTGATTATTGCGCTGGTCATTGTCACGCGCAAAGTCGACGGGCTCTGCACGAGCTACAAGGCATGAGCGCAGACAAAGAGAGGAGCCAGAGACGGCATCTGCTGCTGCTGCTGCTGCTGCTGCTGCTGCTGTCTTCCGCGGCGGGCTGGCGCCGCGTGCAGCAGCTGCAGCAGCAGGCCCACGTGCGAAGGAACTGCACTGAAACGCGCATGCAGATGCGCGGCAGACAGACAGAAACGGCGGCGGCTGCTGCTGCTGCTGCTGCTGCTGCTGCCACTTCGTAGGCTCGTGTCTTCAGCAACAAAAGGCCATTTCATTTCGCTGCTGCACCCGCACCTGGGGTGCTGCGCTGCGGTGGGGAAGCTGCTGTCGCTGCAAGCGACGGACTTGAACTATTTCGCCCAAACTGACTTCTGGCTACGCCGCATTTTAAAGGGCGCCGTTTCCTTCAGGGCCCTCGGGGCAACAGCAGCAGCAGCAGCAGCTGCTGCTGCTGCTGCTGCTGCTGCAGCACCGGCAACGGCTGCAGCAGCCGTACGTGGAGACAAAAGCAGTGCAGCAGGACTAGGAGTTAGGGTTTAGAGGCTCATAACGCCACACGTTTAGTCTTAAAATGGCACTTCTTATAAGAGGACTTGCTCCCGTTCTTGCTGCTCAGCTGCGGCTGCATTCTTTTGCCCAGGAGAAAATGCCGTGTAGATATTGGCTGAGCAGTGCCAGGCCAAGGGCCTATTATTAAAGGTTTGTTTTGAGTTTGAAAAATGAGAAAAATAATTTGTGTTTGGGGCTGGCGGGGATTCCTGGCCTTGCTGCTAGCACTTCTTGTACGCGGAAGAAGTGGCGAGCGGCGGACTTTGTTGCAAAATCTTGCAGTTCGCAGTTAAAAGACTTTATTTTTTATTTTGGGGAAATGTTAATGCACTTTCCGCGCTTCATTGAAGTGTTTCTTCGCCGTCTAAGACGAAAAGGCTCATATTGGCGTCCGTATGGCGCAAGCCAACAAGAGGTGATCTTCTCTATCGGTGGAGCGAAAACTATCAGAAATGGGATGAGCATTAGTTCTTCTGCTTTCTTTTGTCAATTAAATTCTGGGGATGTAGTTACTGCTATCTAAGCAGCATTTGTCTACTTGAATTGCATTTCAAGAGCCCCTTCACTTTTTGAGCAGCGAGTCCAACTCTCATCCCTTGATTGCAGGGGAAAGCCACGTAGTATTTTGCATGATCTTCATCTTTGTACAACACCGCCAGTAGACTTTCTCACCCCATCTGCTGCTAATCCTTCACAACAATAGCAGCAGCAGCAGCAGCAGCAGCAGCAGCAGCCCGCCGAAGGGGAGCAGTACCTGCTACTTCTCTCTTTACACTCCCCCGAAATATCTCTGCAACTGCAGAGTTTATTGGGAAACAAACGGGATGAAAACCCTGCAAAGACTGCACAGCCGCTTGCCCTGCAGGTGACCCACCGGACTTGAATGCCATTTGTACAGTGCTCGTTCTACCGCGACAGTCACAGCTTTTTATAAAGCATCCGTGGCCAAAAGCATAACTATTTGCGTATATTATAAATCAGGAGGAAAGTTTAAGTATAAATTAAGAACAGAGGCATCAAGTGATGGAACGTCAGTGGGAAAGGTGGGACGTGAAGCACAGCTTCACCATTTTACGCTGACGAGCGCCCGCAGAAATTGACTTAAATTTATCTTTGCTGCATAATTTATTTCAAGTGAATCATAGCTGTGCCTTGGGAGGCGCGGTGTGTCCAGATTTGAACGCAAAAAGTTATTTCTTCACTTCATTTTCAGCCCCCTACCCGTACTGTCTGCCACTTCCAAGACTGACGGCCCCTGGAGGTTCAAGTCTGGAGGCTGAGTTGAGCTATAAGACGGCGCCACTAGCTGGCGTCCTGGTTTAGTGCTGATGGCCTGAAGTACAGCAAAACAACTTTACCTGCAGACGCTGCAGCTGCTGCGGCAGCAGCAGCCTGCTGCTCCCGAAGCAGCAGCAGCCTGCTACTGCTGTTTTCAAATGCAGATGAAGAATTCCCACCACTGCCAGAGCTGCCTTGATGGCGATTTGCCGAAAGTTGGAACTCCTTGGCATCAGATAGCAGCTGTGGCAGGCCGCACTGCAGCAGCAGCACACGCTACTGCATCGTGTTGTGTGCGTAGCCTAGGCAGCAAAAGTAGCAGCTATAGCGGCACCAGCAAAACAAATGAGCAAATGCCACTAAATCTTCTCGAGGGTTTTCCTCAAAAGGAAAGTAAGCAGCGATGCAAATGCTGTATGAGGCTCTTGCTGCTGTCTAACTATGTGCTGCCCCAAACTGTAAAGCCGTGGGCCGACGGCTATATCCAAGTGTTCAGTGTTTCACAAAGCTCTAAGGATTAACAAAAATAAAGTGTCTTAAAGACATAAATCCTTTAATATGGCTCATAGAGCGAAAGTCCAATCTGCTTCTGACCTCAGTTGCTGCTGAGATGAATTCGACAGCGACAACAGCACAGCAGCCCACCTGCATAATGCCATGGACTTTCTCGATGCTGCAGCAACTTGAAAAATGCATGCAAGAGTGCTTTCTTCTTCGGCTCATCTAGCTCGGACACTATGAGTTGCACTTGGAGGGTGTTCCAGCGGTTAGCTGCAGCTAGCTGCTATTTCACTTACGGCTAGCTGGCGGCAGCTGGGGGCCTTTACAATAGCTAGCTGCAGCTAGCTGCTGCACCTGGCCTTCTGGTGGAGCTGCAGCAGAGATGGAGCTGCAGCCAGTGGCACCAGCTGCCCCAGCTAGTGCAGCTTCGGCAGGGCAAAGTAGGAAGACAGCAAAAAGAGTATTTGTGATATTTCAGGAATAGAGGGAGGCGGAAAGAAGTCACAACAAACAAGCGAAACGAAAACTGTAGCTTAAAACGAGTAATTTGTAAACACAACCACAAGAAGCAGCACTGCTTTCCAAGCCCACAGCAGCAGCAACAGCAGCAGCAGCAGCAGCAGCGACTGAGCATTCGATTAGGACGAATGGCCTGAGGACTGAACTAAATAAAGAACTTCGGCGGACTAAACTATCTTCACATCTGGACAAAAAATAAATTTCTTGAATTGGTCGAATTCAATTGAAATGAAGTCTCGACCTCGTAAAAACGGATCGAGTCTTCCGAGGAAAGTTCAGATGCTCCAACTGACTTCGACTCAAGAATATAAAAAGAGTAAAGCATCAGCAGAAGGCCTGGAGGCGGCGCTTGCCTCTTCGCTTCTGCTGCGCTTGTTTGTGCTTTAAATGCAGCTGATCCGCGCCTGAAAAGGTTTTTATTTGCAGCAATTTTGGCAGCTGCTGGCGCTTGTCAGTTCAGCTTTTGCGGCGAAGTCTTTTCAGCTTCGTTTGCCCTCCAGGTGACCTCCACTTGGTCCGTGCGAAACCTTTGCCTGTAGAAACTCTTCGTGGGCTCCACTGTCTGGCCGCACTGGTACATCAGAAGACCCACGTAGGCAATCATGGCCCCGTTGTCAATGCAGTATCTTTCGTCCATTCCGCCCATCGAGCAGCCCCGCTGCCGGGCCATTTCCCGCAGCATTTGCTGCAGCCGCAAGTTGCACCCGACGCCGCCCACGACCTGCAGCAGCAGCCCGCAGCAACAGTCTGGAAAGCTGCAGCAGCAGCAGCAGCAAACACTTCCTCAGAGTCACACGGCAGCAGCAAGAAAGAGAAGTCTTTCCAAAGCTGAAATACATTATTTGATCTACTTATTCACAACTGCAGAACTCCTCAACAAGGTGACAAGTGCACTGCGATGTGGGTTGCTGCTGCTCACCAGCACATCTGAACTGTGCGAAAGCGCCATCGCTCGCTCCGTAATTTCAACCAGCATTCCAAAAAGATATTCTTGCAAGGAATAACAAATGGATTCGGGAGTGAGAAGCTCCTCGGGGATGCTGCTGTCGGCGCTATCTCGACTGGGATTTCCCCTCTTGCGCAGCTGCCCGCCGCTGCGCTTTGTCCTCATCCGCTTGGCCATTTCTTCGGCCACTTCCGGCCGCCTGCTGTCAGCTGCAGCTCTCTGAGACTCTGCTGCAGCACCTTCAGCAGCAGCAGCAGCAGCAGCAGCAGCAGCATCCTGCATAGGCTGGGCGTCGCTGGAGGCAGGCTTTCTCGCGCGGCGCTCGAGCATGAGATGAACGGCCTCTTCCGCCTTAGTCAACACCCCGCTAAAGGCGACGTCCATGCCCTTTACGTTGTAGCTGAGAGGCAGCAAAGGGGGAGCAGCAGCTTCGGGGTGACTGGCGCGGTAGAGCTTTTCGAACTTGAGGGCCATTTGCTCGACTTGAAAGCCCGGCGCGGGGTCGTTGGGCAGGTGCAGCAGCCGCGCCACTCTGTCTATGCAGTTGCCAATGGCCATGTCCAGAGTTTCCCCCAAGATCCTGTAGCGGCCTTCGCTGTAGCCAATCACTTGTGTGTTTCCGCCGGACACGTACAAGACAGTGGGGTTGCTGCAGCCCGTGACCAGGCGCCCCATTTCGATGTGCGCAATGCAGTGGTTGACAGCCACAAGGGGTTTGTTCCACAACAGAGCCAAAGTCCTCGCAGCGAGGGCCCCCACAGCCAGGGGGGCCCCCATGCCCGGGCCCGCTGTGTAGGCAATGCAAGTGATCATGGAGGGCGAAACGCCCGCCTCTTCCATTGCCTTGCGAATTAGCTGCGTCACATTTGCCTGGTGGTGCGCTGCAGTTTCCCGCGGGAGAAATCCCGTGCCCGCGGGGGTTATGAAAGTGGCCCGGGGGTTCGCCAAGATCTTCCCCGAGCTGTCCACTAGGCCCACGCCCACTTTGTTCGCGCTGCTTTCTATCCCCAGCACAATCAGCCTTTCTTTCGCAGCTCCTCGCGAGCCTTCAGCCTCCGACTTGCACGACGTGGGAACCATCTTTCCGATCTCCCCGCCTTTTCTGGAAACTACAGAGGCCCGGGAAGGGCCTTTAATTGCAACAAACGCGGGTTTCAGGTCACTAGAAGAAAGCGCAACATCTACATGCCCATGCAAACGAGCGCTGGGCCAGCCTCGAGGAAACCGGCCTTTCCAACGGCTTCTCTCGAGTTCCTTACAAAGAACCTCAACAACTTCCCAAAATCTTTGAAATCCCCGCCTCACTGACTAAGGAACTCAAGCCAAGAGTTCCGAATGCAGTAACAACAAGAAGGATCTTCAGAGCATGGACCCTGCGGAAGATCCTGAAGTGGCAGCAAACTTGAATTGGGGCTTTTCCTGTCCAAGAGACTGGTTGCCACTGGCTGCGGAGAGAAATCACAGTTCGAAATAAATGAACTGTTTGACTTTTAATGAAGATTAACACAGGGGAAGAACAGAGAAAGATGTTAACAAGGCCTCCTTCGTGTTTCCCAGCGCTCTACAACGATCCCCCCCATCCCATATAGTCTAGGTGGTTAGGATACTCGGCTTTCACCCGAGCGACCCGGGTTCGAGTCCCGGTGTGGGAATCCTTTTGTATATGCAACTATCATTTCATCAGTTGAATAGAGTCATTTCCTTTTTGGAAAAGACGAATACTATTTCTGGTGGGCCACCTTCTGGTAGTCGGCAGCGCTTCAGTGACCCCTGTCATCCCATATAGTCTAGGTGGTTAGGATACTCGGCTTTCACCCGAGCGACCCGGGTTCGAGTCCCGGTGTGGGAATATCTTTTCTCTCTCCCCCTTCTGTTGATCCTCTGCTTTCTCGCTGTTGTAGAGTCCCTTACCGAAGTGGAAAGTGCATAAAAGATCGCTTGGATGGCTCATCTGTTGGTGAGCGGTGTGCAGTAGAGAAAATCAGCGATGACCTGGTGACCCCCAGCATCCCATATAGTCTAGGTGGTTAGGATACTCGGCTTTCACCCGAGCGACCCGGGTTCGAGTCCCGGTGTGGGAACTTTTGTTGTTGCCCAATACATTTTTTACTCCTCTGAATTCAACTTATCAAAATTGCAGAATCTCTTCGCCAGCTTATGCATTGCTGGGGAGTGCTGCCTCCAAAAAACCGGCGGTGCCTAATCAACCCCACCATCCCATATAGTCTAGGTGGTTAGGATACTCGGCTTTCACCCGAGCGACCCGGGTTCGAGTCCCGGTGTGGGAATCTTTTGCATATTTCATTCAAATAAACTTCCCTAGGCATAAAGGAATGTCTTCATCCTCGCAATCCACGCAGTTCAGCCTCTTTTGGCCACCGGCTACAACTACGGGTGTCCACTTCCAATGAGTTGAAGGATCCCGGAAACTCATCTTTTCCCGGATCTCCTCGTGTCAGTGTTTCAGCTTTTGAACTTCATTATTTTCTTTATTTCGCCTGTCAGTGATCTGCTGCTAAACTGCGAGGCTGCTTCCTCAGGTGAGAAGCATCCCATATAGTCTAGGTGGTTAGGATACTCGGCTTTCACCCGAGCGACCCGGGTTCGAGTCCCGGTGTGGGAACTTTTGCTTTTTTGTTTTTTCATTGCCGCTTTCAAATTGAATGAAATATGCTGCAGCAGAGGCTCTGGGAGCACTGTGCAAGAGGAGCAGCCTGGCTGCTTGCTGTCGCCCTTTGTTCATTCGAGTTAAATTGGCTTCTCTTGAATATCTACTCAAGTGAAACATTATTAAGTGAAAGAAAGCTATGTAATGTGTTGGATCTTTCACTTGGGTGCCAAGTTGGAGTGCCCCCTGCAGCAGCAGCCTCCCGCATAGTTACACTCTTATCCTTGTAGAAACCGAATCAAATCAGATGTGCAATCAAATCTTTTCGTGTAGCTTCCAGTTAGTTGCATGCAGCACTTCTGCTACTGGCGAGCCCCAAGTCAGCGGCCGCCTTCAAGTGAGGCACTGCAGCGAAATCTCGGTGCAGGAAATGGCACAGGAAGTTGCAAAGAATGCCACTGACACGCAATCACTGAGCACATTAGCCTCCTTGTTCCAGGCTGTGCGGAAGACCATCGGCATACTACGCTGAATTCTTGAACTAAGCACTTCGTTGCAGAAACCTTGCTTTAGATGTGATCAAGTGAGTGCATCTGCTCTTGTAAGCAACATCGCAAGCTCCAGTGTATTTGGAGTGAGTTGGCTTTTGTTCTGAGTCACTTCATAGCGGCTCAGACAACACCTGTCCTTGTGAAACTGATGACTGACATATGCAAATTCTTTTGCTGCCTACGTAGAACTGGTAGTTGCGACTCAAGACAAACGGAACATAGCGAAACAGTTTATTTTTATGCAGAAGGGAAAATAATGAAAGTGCCAGCAATTTTATTCAAGAAACTTTCCTTCAACTATGCAGCGGAGGCAAGGTGCGTTCAGCTTCACCTGCGAGCTGAGCATACACCCCAACGGCACTGCAACAGAATGAAGAGCTCCACATTTTCCTTCATCAAAAGAAACCCAACGAACTCACAAAACGTCGGCTATGAAGCATATTATTGCATTATTACTTTTGCTTGCGCCAGCTGCGCATGCGCTGGAGTTTTCTCTTGTTTCCGAATCTTCGAGGTTCGGCCCTCCCGGTCCGTTCAGTTTTCGCTTCTGCCTCTAAAGACCAGCAGCACGAATGCAACTTACGTTTAGGCCGGCACGGAGTCGCTGCTGCTGCTCTTTTCGACGTGCCTTACGTGTTTGGAGGCTGCACAGTTGAGGGTGAGTGGCCGCCTTCCTGGCCAGCAAAGAAGGCTCAGTTTGCGTGGCATTTCGCAAGCCCCGGAGCCCAATGCTTTAATTTTCTGGGGCTTTTTCTCTGCTTTCGCCTCTTAGAACAAACAACTGTGCTTTCTCCGCGCAGAACTCTGCTCGGACGAGCTGTACGCGTTTCACACTTCTACGAGCTCTTGGGAGTTTCTGCGGGTCCGGGGCGACGCCCCGTCGGCCCGGGGCGGCGCCTCTTTGAGTGGAGTTCGCGGCTTTTTACTTCTTTTTGGCGGAGAGTCGAGCGAGGGGACCTTCAACGACATTTACAAATTCGGTACTGCAGCGCAGCAGAGGCCCGCAGTGCTTCCTTAGCCCACAGCCCCTGCAGATGCCACTTGGCGCAAGTGGTACATAGGCGTGGGCCCCGAGAACTTCCGCCCCGGTGAGCCCTTCTCCTTAAGCTGCTGAACTCGCCTTTGCATGCGGGAAGTGCAGAGCCCCGCAGCGGCCACGCTGCTGCCTCCGATGGCGAGAAAGTGTACATCTTTGGCGGCTACAACGAGGCAAGAAAGTGTTTGTCTTGAGTGTTTTTGGCGCATGCAGTTGTTCATTTCGGTCTTCATTAAATCTCAAATTGCAAACAGTCTGGGCGCTTTCTTAATGACCTTTGGGTCGTCGACTTGGACTCCGTGAGAAAACTGTTTCTGCAAAAACTATCTTTTCTCCGAAACTGCTTCTTCAGGAACTGGAAAACTTGAGCCCCGAGCAGTTCCCAGTCCGCTTCCACGCGCTGAGTCGCAGTGAGGAAAAAGCAAAACTTGAACTCAAGTCTTTGCCAACTCCTGGGCTTTGTCTCAGGCTCAGGAGACATCCCCAGCCCCCGAGAAGGGGCCACATTAACTTATCTGAGCGGCCACTTGTTTCTTTTCGGGGGTTACGGGGCGGAAGGTAAGGGCCGCTGCTGTCTGTACACCCGGGATCGCACTAGCGGCTGGGGTGTCTCTGCACCTTGCGCAGGGCTTCGCGCGAGCGACTTGTGAGAAACTTCTTCTCAAAACTGTTTTTGTTGCTGCTCAGCGGGCGCAGGTGGGTGTACAGTTTGGCTGAGGACAAGTGGCTGAGGGCGCCTGTCAGGGGCCGCCAGCCGCCCCCCCGAGAAGGTACTTAGTTGAATTTTGAGTTTGGAGTTTCGGAGATGAGCTTTCGCCAGGCCACTCCGCGCTGCGAAACGGGAGCGACGTACGCCAAGTGCTGCCTTCCCCGTGACCAGTGGTCCACTCTTGCTGCTGCTGCTGCTGCTGCTGCTGCTGCTGCTGCTGCTGCTGCTGCTGCAGATAATCGTCGCTGGAGGCTGCGACTCGCGGCGGACAGTCCAGCGCTGCTACAAGTGAGCAGCAGACAGGCAGCAGGCCCTCCTTTGCAAGTTAATGGACTTATTATTTCTCCATTTCGTTTTCCTCTCAGTGACGTTTGGCAATTAGATGCAAAGACTTACACCTGGACTGTCTTGTCTGCTGGGGACCCAAAATTTGCCCCTCGCGAGCGCCACGGGGCTGTGCTTTTGAAGGGTGAGTTAAGAGGAGTTCCTTAACGTTTCGGACTTGTGCAATTTTCGGGACTTCGAGGCGGCAAGGTGCTGCTCTTTTGCGGGCGAAAGCTGGCAGCAGAAGACTATTCAAGTGTCGTTTCCTTCAGCGTCTCCGTGAGTTTTGCTGCAGCAAAGTCTCACTGCAGCAGCAAATTCGCAGTTGCTTCGAAGCCCTGCGGCGGGGGGGCTGTCTGCTCCGGCAGGGGCACTTGTGCAACAGCTTCCTGCGTCTGTCACCCGGGCTGGGCTTCTCACGACTGCGGGGAGGTCAGTTGCAGCAGCAGCAGCAGCAGCAGCAGCAGCAGCAGCAGCAGCAGCAGCTTCTCAGGACTTCTTTTCTGGATTTGCTGCTCCTTTGCAGGTTTTCGACTGTCCCCGAAAGTGCAACTTCTCCGGCATTTGCTTCAACGGAGTCTGCAAATGCTACCCTCGATTCCACGGAAACTCCTGCTACCGCGTGCGTCAAAGTGCCCCTGAAACTGCTGCAGAAACCCCACAATTCCTGCTGCTGCTGCTGCTGCTGCTGCTGCTGCTGCTGCTGCAGGTGCTGTGTCCAGGGTCGGGGCTGAATGGCATGTGCAACGGAGAGGGCGAGTGTTTGTCTTCGGGTGTTTGTGCATGCAAGTAAGTGGAGATGGCCTCAATTGCCTTTGTTTTGAGTCGAAGACAAATGCAATTGCTGCTGCTAGTCCGGGCTACAAGGGTGGGCTGGCTCAGCTAGTGGCTGCTGGAGGGGGAAACACTCACGGCCAACTCTTGGGCAGGCGTGGCCTGCGAAATTGATATTTGGGGAGAAGAGGAAAGGGCCAGGAGGGCCAAAGGGATTAAACGCCGGTCTCCTGAACACCCAACTCCAGACTTGTCGAAGCTCATAGACTTCGACTTGCGAGAGCAGAGTGGGCCTGGCCAGGCCTGGCAGCAGTTTGTTCAGATCTGTTTTTCTTATTCTGCTGCTGCTGCTGCTGCTGCTGCTGCTGCTGCTTCCCCTGCTGCTCATTCCCCGCCTTCCCAGTGTCTGCCATCTGGAGGGATATTGTACGAGAAACTGGAGGAGTAAGAAATAACACAGCCACGCGGACTCTGCGTCTTTTCACTTCAAATGCCGCCCCAGAGTTTGCCGCCCGTGGCCCAGATAGGAGAGCTGCGGGGCTCCGCCACAGCTGGGGCCACGGGTGAGGGGAACGACTCTGAGTAGAATCTGCGCTGCAGCAGCTGCAGCAACTGCAGCAACTGCAGCAGCTGCAGCAGCTGCAGCAGCTGCAGCAGCTGTCGGTGGCAGCAAAACTGCTAGGGCTCTCATTTTCGAGCTTCAGGTGCGGGGCTGCAATGGAGTATACACTGGCCGGAAGCCAAACTGCCATGTACGGGTCCCTATGCTTGCCCATGCGCCTTTCCCGCGCATTTGCTCAACCTCTTAATGATATATATTCCCTTCAGCTGCAGCAGAAGTCAAGGAAGCGCTGCAGGGTGTGGCTGAACAGCTGCAGGAACAGCTGCCTTCGATTTCCACTTCCGTGCGAGTAGCCATGGCCCCTGTGTCGCTTTTTGTGGCCCTCGGCACGTTGTATACAATGTACAGTATCAACAAGTCTCGCATGTGAAGTCCGCCCTCGACGGCGAAGAACAAATTTCAAAAATGTTCCACTTTTCAAGATCAGCTAGTTCTACTATCGGAGCTGCAGTCGAACTTGACTGTGGCTGGACCTGTTGAGACTGGCAGATGTGAAATAGAGCTTAGACAGATGGCTAAAAAATTAGTCAGATGGTTAAAAAATATATTTGGATTGAGACTGAAACGAGCAAACATGCTTTCAGTGCAGCCGCTGTAGGCATTTTCGCTGACAGTAACACATGCTGGCAGCTTTAAAGAGCACAGTGAGCAACTCAGGTCCATAGGAGGCAGACAATTTGCTAGAATGCCATTGACGAAGGTAGAGATCGAAACTGGGGATAAGGAAATGCACAAGATGCTGTTTTCAGGAGCCTTTAGAGTATGCATTCGAAGTAGTTCGTTTGGCAGTGGCGAAGTTGCGCAAAAGATCTTTGGTTTAAAACACGTGGACCATGCTGATAGAACAATCACAAGACAACACAAACTCGTCTTCACTGTATGCAGCGATGCATATAGGATTTCCACCAGCCCTTCCATGGGCCCTTGGCAAATGCGGGTGAATGCCATGATGGGCAAGGCTGGCCATACACCACGTTGCCACCTCCAGCAGCAGCGCCTCTCCTCCTGAAGCAGCAGCAAAATGCCATTTCTAAGCTATAAAAGTCTCGACATAGTGCACGAAGTGTTGATTTTGAGGTGTGAAAAGCGTCGATATAACGGAGTTTTAACCAGCATTTAGACAGGCTTGGCAATTGTGCTGATATTTCGAGCTCTAAACACTACAACAGAGCTGCACTTACGTTCCGTTACCATAACTGCCCTGCCCTGCCGTAGGCAGCAAATTGCTGCCACTGAAACGGGTATTGTGGCTTGGCAAATGGGCTGGCCAAGAGCCTCGTGAATATTTATCTGGCGCGTTACCTGAGCGGCGCAGATGAGATTAAGTTGCAAACACAATCTACATGACACACGAGATTTGCCAGATAAGAACAGGTTTACAGGTCGCCATTATACTAAGGGCTGCACCCACCTGCTGTGCCTGGCAGTCTACGCAGAACACCAAATCCCCCCTAGCAACAATTAACGTGTTGCTGTCGGTGAAACATGCCCGGGAAGCGGCTGAATGACTTGATGAAGAGACGGAAGTGTCGCTGTCTGGGATGAAGCGGACTCCGAAACTGAGAGAAAAAACAGATGACAAGCGTTTGCAGGCGAGAAGCCATAAAAGAGCAGTATGATTTCTCTTGCGCGCAGAGCCCAAGCGGATAGCTGTGTTTTTTGCTTTTGCTTGGAGGCGCCTCCTGCTTATTTCAACGCTGATCAAGGGCTCCGTGGACCCTAAATTTTGACAAAACTCATATGTGACTCAACCAGAAATAAGAGGCAGTTACCATGTCTTTGGGCACAGTATCCATTTATTATCAGGACAAGCTCTTGTGTAAGCCCCAACAGAGCAGTATCCACCCGACAGACACAGCGCGAAACCGACTCGGCTATCCATACCGCTTATGCCTGCGGCAGGCTGCTGGCCCACAAGGCTTTCCACCACAGTAGGAATTTTTTTCGTTGCCGACGCTTCTAGCGAACAGCAAGTGCAGTCAGCGCTACTGCAACTGCTTCCAAAAGGCATGGATTGTTGCACAGTGAAGGTTGGCCCAAAACAAGCAGTGACGGTGTTCGCTATTTTCGAAACACTCGCGTGCTTAATCTGTGGTCCCGTTGGGGCTTTCCCATCTGCCCGTTCCTTGAAGGACAAATCAAGGACGAGCGACAGGAGTTCTCCGGAGGCCGTCGCAAGCAGCGCGTGACGGTCTGCAAAGGGGTTCCAGAAGCCAACAATCGACAGTCCTATCAAAATGCCCTCTTAGCCTGGTCAGCAAAATTGGTGAGAAAGAAGAACTAAGAGCTTCAAATAAGGGGCATTCTCACCTCCAAGGCACGCGATCGCCACCGGCGGGTCTTGAGGCGCTGCAAGCTGCAGTCGGCCTATCATGGAGAATGCCTTCGAGTCAAAAAGCCTCAGGGAACCGTCGCTAAAGCAGCCCAAAAGCAGCATGGGCCACAGAAAGGCTAGGGCTGTGCAAGAATGTTGCAAAGAGAAATCTGCCAACTGTTGTGGAAGGGGCCAGCGGCTCCATATTCTTAAAGAGCCTCCAACATCAGCACTAGCGATCACTGGATAGTCGTTTTCTGCCTTTGCGTCGACGGTATCAAGTCTGGACTTCGACGACGCGTGAGGACGTGCAGTCTTTGTATTCCCACTAGTTGCAGCTGCTGAACTCGCCTGAAGCCAGATGCAGCGGACAGCCCGGCAAGCTCAATACTTTGCTAGGCGCCTCACTGTCTTCTGTGCAGTCCTTAAATCAGTTCGGACCTATGCATTGAAGGCTCACCCACCTGGTAAGATACGGCTAGATGGCTGATGGGGAGAGTGTGGCTCGAGTGCAAGCGCACTTGCGCACGCTGGTCCCAATGAAGATACCTAATGACACAAGCACAATTCACGCCTGTGCAATAGTTTGCGCGGTTACCTTGGAGCGATTTTTAGCCTTGTTGCTACATTATATATAGTGTTTTACGGCCAGTTAGACTCACCAAATAGTATTTGCTGCTGTTGTGGCGATTCCCTGTACTAGCAATGCACAGCGCATATGGAAGATTTCAGCCCAACGCTTGCGTGAATTTCCATATTATTCTAGAGCATATAGCATCAAACCACTGACCTCTTGTGCCTCTCCATCGAGTTGTATGCTCTTTATTGGTGCGTCCAGCTTGACAGGCTGCAGTGCTGCCTGCTGTGTCATGTCCACTGACTGTGAGCCAAGCGCTTGCCGCCTACAGCAATCCTCACGTGAGACTTCTGTTTCTGAGCTTCTTAGCGTTCAGTATAGTAACAATATATGTGTAAGGAGCTAAACAAATTCTGAATGCTCATATTGCTCCCAACGCTAACGGACATGAAAACGTCAGGGGTCACACGCACATCTCTAAGACTCGGAGGAGATCCACTGTTGTCCGCCCGGCAGTGCAGCTCGTACTGTAAGCTAAATACATTGCCTTTCCACAAGTTATGGAGCCTACACATACATAACAACAGATAGAAGACCACCCAGCAAGCTAGTGACTGGATGATGTGGCATTAATAGCGTGGCAAAACTGCAACTGCGCGTGGCGTTTGCCTCCAGCTCCACAAGCAACGTTCACTATGATGCCGTCTTACTTATTGGGAAGTTGCCCAGAACGAGTTCAAAGACGAGCACGTTGGCTTCATAGTCATAGGCATACACCAAGCCCTGCAGTGCCGCCCAGTGTAATGTGACATCCATAATAACAAATTGCGAGCTCTCCAGATGTATAACAACTCATTGTGTCAGAATAGAAGACTGACCCGGTCTGAAGCGACCAGAAGAAGCCGGGGACTCCCTTTTCCTCGGCGAGTGAGGCAGGCTGTGGTGTAGTTCTCCAGTGGGTCATCAAGCATCCGGCGAGGTTGCCGGGCATGCTGAAACTGAAGTTGAAGCTCATCAGAATCAAGCTTCGCCGCTAAAAACATAATGCCACAAGATAGCAGAAGCAGTTCAGACAGCGCAGCGGTTGTCAGCTTTTCGTGAGAGTCGTATGGTGCGGAACAATTTTCGTGCCCTTCCCGTCGTGCTCCCGAGAAACGGACGGTAAATTAGTCTAGCGGTATATTTAATGCGAACGTTACAACACACCCTTGCAGGGCCGTGCAGCAGCGCCATCAATGCGGACAATTCTCCACAAGGTAACCGAACGGGAACCCACGAAAACAACCTCTCTCTCATCAGCGGATGCGGCGCTCAATAACCTCTTTAATCGGGCTCCAACATCCACTCCAACTGCCGGAGAAGGGCAGTTCATGAGATGCCCAAAAGGCAGCATCTGTTCTTTGTTAAGGTAGCAGCTGCCGCGACATTCACAGCGAGTGCCTAATGCAGCGTTCCCGCAATTAGGATCTGCATGCAAGGCCTCTTTCTTTGCATGCATGCTTGAGAAATTCTTCGACGATGATATGAAATCAGATACACGCCAAATATCCAGCCGACTTCCATCGACACCCCCTGTACGAAGCAAAGACGAAGTTCATGAGATAAATCTAGCACACAAAGGCCACCCCTTAGAGCTGCGCAGTGTAAGCCTGACAAAACGATACCCAGTGGGCGAGCACTTTTTTTCCGAATTATGGGATGAGTTACCCGCAGTGACAACCAAATCAGATCCACAGAACAAGACTCCCGGGAAATCCTCTTCATCTTGACTAGAGGAACTGGAGTGCAGGCTATGCCTATTGAAGTAGAGTCCGACAGCCTCGCCATATGCACGTGGCAGCCGAGCAGCGCCAAGCAGCTCACCACTGCCCTCCGCCTTCCAAATACAGAGACCCAAGCAACTGCCGCCGTGTCTCACACAACTACATGCAGCTTCGTCAGTTCTGCTGGAACCACAAAGGTTGCATCGGCGGTTTTCATTGGTGTTGCTTGGGCATCCATCGGGAGTGCATGCGTCTGGCAACGTGAGAACTGACACAGCAGCACCATTTCAACAAAAATGTTAGCACCGAAATCATCTTAGGCGTGTATGCGTTACGCTCTTGCAAGTGCGGTACACTGAAACGATGGAATCAGGGAGTCGTTGGAAAGGGTCCAGAAGCCATGAAAATACCTCACCGCTGATGGTAGCGGCTATGCGGGCCTTGATGTCGATGGAGAATGAGATCGTGCGTCCAACTATTGGATGCCTCAAGACCGAGATTCGGGGCATGTGCGCCACTGCACCGCACTGTCGTAGCAGTTCCAACTGCCGTTGTTGCCTGTGAAGTGATGCTCCTCTTCGCCTGGGGGATTCTGCTGACAGTTCTTGCTGCTGGAGGCGCGCAAATGCTGTGCGCTCCAACAATGCAGGAAGAAGGCCAAGACACTTGCCGTCCTGGGATGGTGAAGGGGTGGAGAGCCTTTCTATCAGAACCCATCGGCCAACAGCATGAGCCAGGACACCTAAGTGGAAAGTACAGTCAACAAAGTCTCAACATGGGAACGCTGCTTTGCAACTGGCGGGCAGTTGCAATGCGTGTTCTCGAAAGCTAGCAGCTAATTGCTCTCGGCCTGCATATTGATCCAGCAACCCCGCAGGCCGACTGCTACTGTGGTGTTCTTGTTCAGTTTTTCTAAAAGGATGTATCTAAGTTACTCCTGATATCACAAAGCTGTCAAAAAAAAAGAAATTAATCCTGCTTTTTGGTTTTGGTAAAGTAATCAATAGCGGAGCCTACCTTTTAAAGGCCTCCACAGGCAGCCACTGCGGCAGTCTGCTACCGCAGTGCCAATTACATGGCGTGCAACGGCGCCGTCTACAATGCTACTTAGTTGAGCTGTTGGCTCCTGTTGCTGTTGTGACACAGCCAATAGTCTTCCAGACTCTAAGCTGGCCTCAATAGGTGCACACCACTCAAGAACCCCGCGGAAAACTTCGGCATTCGGAGCATCCTTGTTTCCTAGTGTATCGCTCTCTCCACTTTCCGGTAGCTTGCCCCTTAAGTCAGGTGAAACTGTGCGCAGCCCAGTCTGTGGTCCTCTACTCACCGCATCGGCACGAGCAGAAGCTTCTTCCTCAGTCTGTTTTGTCTGAGAAGCACTAGCCACCACTGGAGATGCGGCGGAGGCTGGAGCTTCGGCATCTCCAGAGACAGCAGCAGGAGCAGCTTCAGCAACAGAACCGCCTGTGGCTGAAGCGCTGGCAAGATTCGGCGTGGCACAATGAAGCAGCTCATTACCTCCAACTCGGGAGAACGACGGAGGCACAGTGGCTTCGCTTGAGGAGCAGGGAGCTGCTATTGGACAAAGTGTTTCTTGTGCTGCTTGTAGTGGCAGCTGCAAAGGGTGGTTCAACGGCTGCGGATGAGCTCGCGGTGGCTCTTGGGGTTGTGGTAGCGCACTTTGCTCACAATGAGTATCTTGTAGCATATGTTTCTCCTCGTTTTTGGAGTTGGAGTCGGCCACCATATGAGTTGACGAAGCTGGTCGCTCCTTAAACGGCTGCAGCAGGCCAATGCCACCTAAAGGCGCGAGATCTGCTGCTGCGTTCAGCAGTGAGGAGCCGACTCTCCAAGTGATTGTTTCCGTTGTACTGACAGAAACCAAGTAGTCTCCCAAAAGCTGCAGCATGAAAGGTGGCTTGTTGTGGCCTGCGAATGATTGAAACTGAGGAAACTCAGCTGCTAGACCGTCGGTTGCAACAAATGAACCACCTTTGTTTTGCGGCGACTTCCCTGTAGTTGTATGGCTGGTGCTTGGAATCACAGTATCTCCTGGCCCTCCTACTTCACTCCACTCATTGACCTCTGGCATTTGACTCACTGCGTTTGCATGCAGAGAGTTAAGGCGAGCCAAGTTCCATACCTATTGAAGACACGACGAGGCAATAAGCTCAGCCGACAGTTTTCCATTAGAGGAAAAAGTGCAGGTTGAAACAAGTGTAACCTGGCATGGAGAGAAGGCTTTGCCTACAGAGAGATTTTGAGGATAAAGTGAGCTGACAATTACCGAATATTGGATGCACCTTGATGAGACTATCTTCCCCGCAAGTCAAAGCAATTGGCTGGATGGCAGTTGCTCCAGGGTTTACCGAAGAGATCCATCCGACACTAATTGGTCCGCTGATAAGAGCTACTTCTCGGCACTGTTGCAGGGTCATGGTACCATCCTGCAGGTATTCAAACAGAACGCTTTTGCGAACGGCCTTCCGATTTGTACCTTTCCAATGGAATGCGGTCAGAAGTAAAAAATCACTTTGTAGAAATTCACACAACTAAAACAGTCTCTACGCAGCCGCATCTAGTGTGTTGCGGAATGCTGCGTAGGTAAGCTAGTGGCGACTACTGGAATTACTTAGAAACGAATGTTACCAACTGGGCACTAAGATACGTCAGCGTGTAGCCCACCTTTACTTTAAGCGAGAAAAGGCGCATTCTGGAGTCACTCCCGCATATGCACAAGGCATCCCCAACAGCAGAGAACGAAAAAGCAGTAATGTGCAAAGACTTGCACGCTGTTGGGAATGGGCAGAGCTCTGCTTCAAAGACGAATTTCGGAAGGGAGAATATGCAAAGCGCTTGAGGTGAGAAATAACGAGCAACTTTGGATCCGTCGCTAGCAAACGCAAGAGCTGGAACGCCATCTGGGGGAATTTCGGCCCGAGGATTCTCTAGCTTTCTGATGAGTGCGAATTCATGAAGTTGTGAAAAAATACACACACCTGCACAATGAAATCAATAAGCAACGTAAAGACTATCAGCGTCGCCTCTCATATGCAGGATTTTTCCCATGACACTACAGTACTCTGTCCTTAATCCCAGGCACCGCAGTGTATGAATCCTTCAGCCCCTCTACATCAAATAACCATCCAGCATGCATATGTTAGTACTTACATCCGACTGCATCGAGTGAAATGACCAGAAAACACTGCCTAGAGATCTCGCCTTCTGCTGTCGGTGCAACGCGAGCAAAGCAAGTCTCTTGATGGTGGTGTTCAAAAGTGGAGCCATGACGAGTACAGCACTCCACGAGATCCGTTGCAGCCGAAGGCGAATGAACAAACCAGATCCCCGTAACTGGATGCTTATGATGATTAGCTTCCATCCAAACGGCCGGTCCTTCAACCGCAAGCACTCGCACTGCTCCGCTTTTAAATCCCAAGGCAAGCGCGCGCTGTGTTGGATGGGCTGCCACACAAAGGGGTGGATCCTGCGGACTCTCCATTTCAAATGTCTGCACACGTTGTTGGCAGATGGCAGGCAAACAACTGCAAACAATCCAAGGCTTGATGGGAACAAGAGCTTCGTTTTACCTAAAGCGGCTGTCCTGCTCATTCCTAAGCTAGTGGGCTTCTTTTGCAGTTGCAGTACTATCCCACGATTGGTCAAGCGCGCACCGTCCGAAGATAAGGCTCACTTGACTAAGCTCAGGAAGGGTCCAGACCCGAACGAGACCGTCTTCGCACACTGTGTATAGCTCTCTAAGAGATGCTGCGCATGAATCACAGCTGCGTGGCAAAGCGTTACTGTGAGTCCATGAAGAAAAGACCCCAAAGAGCACTGGAAACTTTCTAAGAGCAAACGTTAAAAAGGAGGAGTGCACAAGTCGTCAGGACGTGTAAAGCCAAGCAAATGCAAAACTGTAGCGAGACTGGCAAAACACATACCGCTTATTGACGCGTTCAGTACGCACGCTGGGTGCGCACGGCTGACCGGAAGATGCTGCTGAGTTGCGAGGTTCAAAAGCTCCACCGCGCCGTCGCCGCAAGTGCAAAGTACCTGCTGGCCATCGGGAGACGTTTCAACACCTACATATTCCGAGCCGTGTGCGGCAGATAAGTACGCTGTCATGAAATTTAATGGCCAAACCCTTTGAAGGAAACATACACATCATCAGATAATCGACCCACTTTACTTCTCTTACTGATATTTGATCTTTGCCAGATGATGTTACGAAGACAGATGCATAACTCATGCCTTCTTTTGGAAAGTCAGACCAGCCGCGTCAAGAAACTGCACAGATTTTCGCTCACTTCACTGTCTTGTCTGCAGAAGCTGTTACACAAAATCCTGGGCCTATTGACAGGGCCCATATAGGGCTTTGATGCAAGGTGAAGACACGCTTCAAGGCTCGGGTGAAGTAGTCGATCTGTGTACAGCGCAGGTGTACCCAATACTTTCAGCAGTTCGTAATTCACACCAAGCAAAGCGCCAAAGTAATTCGGACACTTCTATCGAGACACACAAACAAGCACTACAGTTCATGTTGACTGGCCAAAAAGCATGCCTCAAGGAGACTTCCGCAGGTGGATGAGACCAACAGTCTTGCCAAAGGCTTAGGATCATCTTCTGCAAACCCGCGCAGCTCAACAAATGCCATTAAGGACGCATTCAGGTGTCTCCCCGCAGTTTTGCTCTTTTCTTTTCGTGGAACACGCTTCCCAAAGCTTCGGTACGCAAGTGTTCCATCCCACAGGGGCAATCGCCTCTAGAAGCAGGTTTTACGAGGTAAACAGGTACAAGGCCTCATGCGTGTACTTTTTGATTACTTACTTGTATTATGTGCCACCATTTGATCTGGCAACACGAAAGCAAGATCTGTAAAAAGGTTTTCCCTACCAAGACCATCTAGGGTCACGTTGCAACCTGGCAAGTGTGCATTCTGTAAGATACACAAGCACACGCTTGAATCCGCCATGGAGCGCCCGATCCACCTAACCGTATATAGAGTGATGATGAAGATGGGAATAAGTCAATATACCAATATGTTGAGCATGGAAACCACGGCAGACACGCTCGAATGGATGGAGGAACAGGAACTTCTAGTGTCCGACTCTTCCCTGTCTAACGTGTGAGGCATAGGCAAGAGGTTTGCACTTATTTGTTGCCTGCCTAGATTTCTCAGGCTTTTCGTTTGTTTTGTTTTTCAAACATTTGATGCTTTAATGTACGATAAAACTACTTAGGGTGTCTGTTGCCAGTAGCTCCAGTTAAGGTACACGTGAACATTAAGAAGTGTGTAAGTAAGTGTGTTTCTTGCCTTAATGCGCCAGAAGCGAATATTTTCCTTCCCACAGCTTACGAGTCGAAGTTCTTCTAAGGGAGAAATGCGCAATGCCTCTATCTGGTTTGTTCACAAACGCTCAGCAAATGCACGGCTTTGACAGGTGCGGAAGGCAGTGCACATTGAACAGAAGGTTTTTGCACAGCCTACGTTTCATTTGGAGCTGGTGCGGGCTACGAAAGTGGCAGCTTTGGTTGCACTGTGCAAACAAGAAGTACAAAATGACCTGGAAATCCGACACTTGGCGGGCAAGGAGGTTTGGGCGTCCAGTCGTTAACAAGCCATGAAGCTCCCATACTTGGAGCTGCTGGCGACTTAGACGGTCTAAACCAACAAGCTGAAGGGGTACAAGCAAATTGAATCATGATTCTGCGGAGTTACCTTAATCTCAAACCATATCACTGAGCTGTTTCATGATATGCTATGTTCGAATTGCGCTAAAGCAGTTGAAGAGAAAGCCAATTACCACCATATATCGCCCTCTTGGATCTAATCGCAACAGAGTAATTCTGCCGAGTGTTGCTGACTGAATGATCTGCAAGAGAAACAGGGCTCTGCCAACAAAAAGTTTATTTTACTCCTGCGAGTAGAAGCTTCGCAGAAATAGTGCGAGTCAAAGTGGAAACATACAGTGCACTACATCCAACAGACGGGCGCGCTTTCAAGAGACAAACGACTCAACGCACTAAATTTTCTTGACAGCTAAGTTCCCGTCGCTGGGTTGCAAAAAGTATCAGAAACTAAAGTGCATGTCGCATTTGAATATGCTTTTCATACGCTAATTAGTTAACCCACACTTTCATAAGAATTTTGTGCGTATGCTGGGTAACCAATGGTCATCGTATTATACCTTGAAACTGCTAAAATGTCACTAAGCGTAAGACTGCATAGATTCTACAAGCAGCTAGGACGACTGTATGATTTGAAAGTTTTTTTGGCAGTGGGGGGAAAATTTATCGCTTACCGCCGTACAGCGGACATCTTCGCTGTCACTTTCAGGAGTAGGGAGCTTCCAGATCCTGAGACACACAGCAGGAATATTGTCTACAAATGTTGGTGACTGCCTGAAAAAGCAGTTAGCAGAGGTCGATTGCATCCGTCACTGAGCTCAAACAGGGCTTCACGGGTGGCTCGACCAGCTTCTCTTGTACTTCACACCGTATAGAAGGCTGCTGCGAAGTATTTTCCACCGTTGCCGCCAACTGGGCCTCGACGGCGACTTCAAGGAATTCTATGAAACCACTATGGCCCAGTAGACACCTGGAAGTGTCTGAAAATTCCAAAACCCAGAGAAAAACTTCCTCCGTTTTTACACGCAGTCCTTTAGAAATATAGGAACCATAAAGTGGAGCCGGCAGCATTTTGAAGAGACTTGCGCTAGGACTGAAGGTACTGACTTTTCCGTAGGTTCCTAGATACAAGAATTGACGAGTGGCAGCTCAGAATACGCATGTCGCTGATCCACATGGCTCCACACTTTCTCAACTGTGCCGGACGGCAAAGTCCACTGACCTGCTCAACCTGGGAATGCAGCGCATTTGAATATGGCAACGGTACTCATCGGTAACGTGGCAAATGGAGAACTGCCAAGGAAGTTACGACGCCGATGCGTTCGTGAGTCCAGTCCCTTTTCATATTATGCAACTGATGTAGTTGCAACAGCAGAGCTTGGACTTTGCCTCGGGCGGTCGGAGTTGAACTCACCGGAACTCTGAACAGTGAATGTTTACCTGCAGCAGCGCCCGAACTTCAAATGAATCTTCAGCCGGGCCCCGGTCCCCAAGCTGTAGCTGAGCGAAGCCGTTCTCTGTGGATGCTCTGATTATGCTTTTTCCTTCAGCATGCTCCTTGTCGTTCCATGGGGCTTCGTTTGAAGGGCTCACTTGAACCAGTGTGGTCTCCAAACGGTCTGCGTCTAAGACAGTTATGATTCCAAACACATCTGCAGTAACCTTATGTATCGCCAATGTGAACGCTTCGCTGCGTTGACTATGCTTTTGAACGATAAACGCCCTTGCAGTTGTGCCGTGAGAAGGCTACAAGCTACTAAGGTCAGATACCATGAAGAGGCTCCGGTGTGCTGCGATCTGTGCTGCTGCAGCTGATTTGATTGCACTCGGGAGAGCGACAGCCGACGGGCACGTAGACCCATGGAAGCAGCTCCTGGGGTCTTAACGCAGAAGTGTCTTTTATGCGGAGAGCCTTGGGAATGTCCTGCATGATATACCAGGGCAGGAACAGAAAATGACCCACTCAGAAGGTATCAAATGGCAAAGTGAAGGTAGCTGCCTGCACTGCCAAACCCCGCGCTTTACTTTTTTTCTTAAAAATCCCGGGGATCAAAGTGTCGATTGGGAGCGCGTGCGCAGGAGTTGGCTCACGTTCATGGTGTAAAGATTGTCTGAGGTGAAAAGCCCGCGGAGATAGAGACAGGAGCATATTTGAACTGAAACAAGGGTGTTGCCTGTGGGAGTGAGCTTTGTAAACTGTCCTATCATGCTGGGCACGTGAACGCAGATCTGAACCCAGCGAGATGGAGGCAAAAGAGGATACTGTATCACCCGAGCCCGCACCTGCGCAGCCGCAGGATTGCCTCCACAGTGGTATTGGTTCCAGATTGAAGGCGTATGATGCAAGATATGTAAATACTATACCCCAATAGGCAACCTGGCCACGAACAAACGAAAGAAGCTGACCTTTGGTAGTTTAACAATGTTAGTGAGAGTGATCCGCAAAGGTAAGTCCTTGGCGGTTCTCAAGTCGAAGTGCATGACGAAAAATCTGTTGGCCATTGGTTTAAACTGAATGTACACCTGAAGTTGTGCAGAAAGCCATACGTTACGCGGAACTCAAAGGCAAAACACTTGGGAATGGCCGAAGGTTCTTTTGGCGGGGAGCTCAGCAAGCCTCAATGAACCAGCAATCCATTCTGAGTGACCTCTGGACCAGGGAACCACAGACGGACATAATTTGCTGTTATCCCCAACGTTTTTTGCGCATTCCGGATGCTAGGAAAGCAAACATAGTTGTTTGCAGACACAAGGCCGTAAATTCTCCATACCCGCTTCCCGATAATTCTATCCTGTCAGCGTAACCAGTACGACAGCATGAAAGAAAAGATGTGTTGCGGAGAATAGATATGCTGCACGCTTTTACGACTCAGGCGAACTCGTATTTTAGGATATCGAAGATTGGAAATGAGCTTTTGGAGGATAGCAGCCCGCACCACTTCCTCAGTAACTTCCCCATGTTGGCTGCTTCTTGTAGGATCACCAATTGGGAACTCTTTGAGAACGTTGATGAACGCCGCTCTAGTTTCGTCGGCCCTCGCAGTCATTGACGAAACACTGCTCCTTGAAATTATGTCTGACAACCTGCACTTCTAGATCTAGCACGCGTTTCTTCCTTGAATAATTTGGAAAGTGATGGCGTCGCCACTGCAGCTTCCGTGCGCTATTACTAGTGTCTCTATATACCAAGAACTAGCTACGGTCAATGTTTCGTAGGGTAATCGTCCGCTGCCCCACTAAGGTCTGAATGGAAATTGGGGCAGGGTCCCCAACCCCTTTATGAATATGGTCGATTGCTATTGGCCTGGCCAGCGCACAGCACGATTCCAATGATGACCTCGATCACCAGAGAGGCATTTTTAAGTATTTCAGTGCCTTTAGTGATCTTTTCCCTCACAGACACGCTCCCTCCTGGAGCACCTAGAAACACGGGACGGCAGTCGTCCGCTCCTCAGCTTAGTATGAGAAGCTGTTTTAGAGCCAAAGCTTACAGAAAGGGGAGTTTGGGATAAGAAATTCCGATTTATTCGCCTTTTCATGAGGAGGAAGCGACAAAAAGTCCGCTTCAACGTCACTTGGAACGATAGGAGAGGCATGGGTACAACGAAAACTGCCCATGCTCGATGGTGCCCTTTGCACTGGAGCAGCGCTTCCACCTCACAAAAGACAATATCAGAGAGGACATTAATTTTAATTTACATATACGTAAACCAAGAAAGGGCATTCCACATTAAGGCTCACTGCAGCGCAGCGCCCCCGTGGGAGCCTCCCAATTCGCCACAACACCTTGGTCGGGCCCCTCGTGTCCAGCGGTCAAATTGGTGCTGGCTCCAAATGAAATGCCCGAGATGTCTCAAAATGAGGCAATACAACATAGGCAATCCAGTGTAGGGACAGCTCTGCAGAGGGCAATGAAGTGAAATTCCTTCGTACGCGGCAGAGAAGCACCCGTGTCGTCTGAACCTCCTGTGCAGCACAGCGTTGAAGGGGTGCGGTCTTCCTTTCGTCCCAAAATATTGCTCAGCAGAACAACAAAATAAAGGACCTTTAGTACACTAATACTCTTGCACATTGTTTGGCGCATCGTGCAGGCTCCATGAAAAATTCCCCTAGCCCGCCATCTGCCATAAGTAAACAAGGCCGTCCGCTAAGCGTAGCTGCCAGCGCGTAGTTCAGTATTACACAGGTCCTACAGCCTGACCCCTCCCACAGCTCGTGCAGAGCTTCCAAGGTGTAAGCCATTGTGACCTCGATGCGTGTGGGCTGCAAGAACACGGTGAATGCGCGGGGCAATTCAGCTGTGCTGGAATGCGGCCAGCATGTGCACAGCAAAACATTTCATTCTGCTTCTTCAGGTTCTGCAAGATGCTGTAGCTCTGGTGGCAGCATTTCGAGTTCTCCATCATTTTCCAGTGCTGGCTTCGCTTCACCGTGGCCGCCTGCAACGTCTGGCTGCTCCTCTAGCTCATGTATATCAAAACTTGTTCCTAAATCGTCGAGCCCAGCCTCACCTTTGTGTTCAAGTGAGGTATCTGCTTCATATTTGTCCAAAGTTGGAACCATAAGCCGGATGCTAAAACGGGCAATAAGGTGAGACAACCCGCCAATGGCAAGCCCAACGCGTTGGGGAGAAAGCTCGAAGATGGGAACGACGGTTAAGCAGAAACCGACGGGAATGCGAAATGAGCAGCGATGGGGCAGCTGCACCTGCGCCTCAAATAGCAGCAACGGCACCTGGAAAAAGTCAAAGCTGCCGCTGCAGAGACTCCGGCGTGTAAATTTACACTTAGAGCAATAAAAAGAAACGGGCTGCTACGTTGTGTCGCCTTTCACTTGATCGTGGGCACCTTTCCCCTTACCTGATGCACACGGACTCTTTCCTTTGGACGGGTGACGTGGGGCGGCAAGTAAGGGACTAAATCGTCGTCAAACTCGCCTCTCCACCACTCGCCAAGAAACTCTCCTACTTCCAAGTCAGGACCGTCTGTGGAGAGTTGCTGTGCCACCCATTTCCTCTTAGAGTTTTGTTCAGGCTTTATAAGATACTTCGACAGTTTCTGATGCAGCACCTCCTTCGGTTTCTGCCAGGTTTTGTACTTGAACATAATGAGGCTGTGTTTCTGTTGTTGCTGGTCTAGTAACAGCAACACATGAGGATATTCTGCGCAGTGGACCAGAAAAACTGCTGCTACTGACCTTCTTGTGCCCTCACGCAAGTACGCCTCTTGGCGCTTCTTAAAACGCTCTTCTGGCGAACCAGACCCCCATTTGTTGCCAAGTGCGCTGTCGGATTCAAACGAGTAATTGGATTCTGGGAAGACCGCCCACTCTGGCTCGATATCCCTCGGCGCTGCCGTCTTGTTTATTGGTCTAGGGATCACCTGCTTTTGCTCTGTCTTTGCAGACTCTGCTGAGGAACCGTATGAAGGATCTCTGTCATATTCCGAATCCGCAGGACCTTCGACAACTGAGAGCGTCCGTTGCGAAACATCTGCAGCTCCACTAACTCCTGGCACTGCACCGTCGCCCACCGCCATCTGCATTTTGAGCCTACAGCTGCTACACTTTGAAGGACGTACAGGCAGACATTCGAAGCCTGGCCCGGGATGCTGCAAGAGGTTATACAAACTATAGACAGCTCCTCACGGGCAGCCAAGTCCGAATGACCAAAGATGTACCCATCGGGAAATTCTCACTCCAATCTGGTTCATTATCATGTAATAAACATGTTAAACCACCGTATGGGTACAAATATTCCGGATTTTTCGCACAACTCATTAGGTAGCCGACTGCGCGGGCGAGCGCCGAGAAGTTCGAGAGGTCTATCTGCCTCAAGCAGATATGACACTATGAGTTGGGCTGTGTAAATACACAGCACGAAATAACAATAAAAACCCCAATTTCTCGCCCCACTCGAAGCTATGATATTCACAAGCGGCTGACGGATTATGAGGGGGAGCTGCAAACGACACATGCATGCTCTGGTCTTGGTGTTCAGATAAAGCTCAAACGGGATATATTCTCAGCACTCTCTGACGCATTTTCTGTTTTTCTCCCTTTTGTTATTCTTCCTACAGCTTCGGTGAGGGAACTTCGCAGCGAGGCCGCCAAAGTAACGGATGCTTTGGAAGGTAGATGTGTTCTTCCCTTGGTCTCTGCGCATGTTCTGTCGCTATCGCATGAGACCATTTTTGTTGTAAGTCTCTCACTGCAGCCGGCTTGCGCATTTTAGGTGCGTTGATTGAAGCCGTCCAATATCTATTTCGTTTGCCAGTACTTAGTTTCGCATCTCGAGCAATGGCAGGGCTGGCGGCGCTCTTTCGTGAGTCACTGCATCGCCTGGCATATCGGCAACTTCACAACCCTTTACCGGTCACTGGATCGGTCGCCTCGCATCCCGGCATTGAACCTAAAGTGCAGAGCTCGACTCAGAGCCCTACTCTCAAGGCTTTGGAGGAAACAGTTGATGCCGTCAACAGTCAGGCTATTATCGTAGCCCAGGAGAACCCTGCCGCTCTTGCCCACTTGACGGCTTACTTTCATGTGGTCGAAAGTGCAGACGCGTTGTACCAAAAGTACAAAGTGCCATCACGAACAGTAGGGCAATCAGATGTACAGAGAGCCGCGAACCTTGTAGGCCTGCGCTTGCCTGATGCTTCACCGTAGCAGCACGCCGGCGAACGCACGCGAAAGGCAAGGGAGTGAATAATGCATCACCTCGTCAGATTTGATCATTGCGACAAACTGAAAAGAACCCCCATCTCCGCGGAACTAACGAACAGCAACAGCTGAAGGTTTACGGGCATTGCTGAGGGGCGACTTAACAGAGGACGCAACTGTCACGCTAAACCTAGAGGGAAGCAAAACTGTGCCTCCACAAGTTTTCCCGAAATGGCCACGGGGTGAAGTTGCCCTGCTCCGAGCACCTGGGAAACATTAAAGGCCCGCAGTCAGTGCCAGGCGACGGCTATGTAAAACACGGCCACCGGCGCTGAATCTTTGCATGCGAGACATCTGCAATCCGTTCCAGTCTTTTGGGGTTAGTTTGGGTTGACTCGGACCTGGAATCGGTTGCAGGAACGCGATATACAGTGTGAATGCATAGCTGGTGCCCACTCGCTAACCGCTGGCACCAATTAAACTGCAGTTAACAACCTCATTCGCGGCCGCGGTATCAAGGTAGTGGTGAAAAACTACCACACGATACTTCGGCTCCAGATTTTGATGCTGAAAGCAGCTTCTGTAGCTTTCAATATAGAGCTCGCTATGCATAGCCCTCGCGAGCAGAGAATGATCCTTTGATTTGGACCTCTTGTGATATTTTGTCGCGGCCTTTAAAACCAGTGCAGACGAAGTACATTTCCCGCGATTCCTGGCGGGAAGCCCTGATTAACAACAGATAGCGTAACGGTGGCGCTTTAGCAGACGAGCTCCGCGAACGTGAACGACAAGTGGCAAGTTTTCACCTCGATTCCTTGTTGATTTATCACAGATAACCTACAAAAATGTTAGTCTCCAGTTAGTCGCTTCGAACATAGTCACTATACACTATGCTAGACGCAGCCTCACCGCGGTTTAGCTGAGTTGACCTGTGTAAATCTGCTCTTGAGATATGTCTTGTAGTTGCCCGTCTCGCTACCCATAAATATCTTGACTATGAAAGTACCTCCGAGACAAAGCACCTGCGCAGCAAAGACAAGGTGCAAGCAGTTGTGGAGGCACCTTACGTGTCCAAAATCTCCCCGTCTTGAAGATCATATGAAAGATAATTTCATGTGTTCTGCCCGTGATTGCAAATGCCCACCTGTTCCATGAAGTCAGCGGCGTAGAGACAAAGCTCCACTGAGTTATAATGATCGTCGTGCCGAATCCCAGTGCAAGCGGGGGCCATATCGCTGAGCACGACATCTGCCTTTTGATCTCGAAGTTCTTGCAGGACTGCGTAGAGCGTTTTGGCGTCGCCCACTCTCCCCTGTATGAACTGCACATTTGGAAGCTGCGAAACACACGAAGCCACCAACTAGCCGTTCACGTGCGTGTTCTGGCGAGCTCTGAAACGCATAACACGAGCATGTCACGCCACTTACGTTTTCCCCCAACCATGCGCAAGATGCCTTCCAGTACAAATAGACTCCACATCTTATGCAATCAAAGAAAGAATGCGAATTTTACGATCAGGATCCACCAGAAGTCCTGCAATTCACCAGAGGTGCTGCACTCGTGGAAGGCTTACAGGGTCCATCCTGGCAATATCAACGCCAATAACACGTGAAGTTGAAGGTGAGGGAGCAACACCGCTGATCCCGCCAGTTGCTCCTTGGCCTACAAGGCAACGCTTTGCAGCCACCTGGCACCACCCTCCTGGGCAACATCCAAGGTCGAGGATGATGCGATCTTTGCGCAAGAAGAGATATTCATCATCAAGCTGCTCCAACTTGAAAGCTGATCGGCTCCGATAGTCGCACTGAATCGCAAAGGAAGAAGCTGTGAAGTTGCTTGGCCAAAATTTACGTCATGTTCCATCCGGACCACAGAGCCCGCACGCAATCGGCCTGAGCCTCTCACAATCCCATGAACGAAAGGACTACACACATATCACGCAGCGAGAAACTTCCAATTTGAGAAGCAATGGGTATTCCTGTTCAAGTTTTCGTCAGTTTTGCGACGAACCGATGCACGCAGGCATGCACTGTTGCGGCCATGTCACATTTGGTACAATCAAGCCTAGCAGGGTCCCAAGACGGCAAGGACATCACAGATACATCAAAAACGTTGAAAAGCTACGGCAGTGGCGTTTAACTTGCCTCCTGTGCACGCTGAACATAGGGGTCTGTAATGTGGCGTCTGATCCACTCAGAGCTGTGTTGCGATCGATGGTTCCGTATTGAAGGGATGGCAGTAGCCAGCCTCCGAACACCACCTAGAGTCGAGAGACTAACGTCAACATTCCTCGCGACCCACCTCGTTCTCGACCATTGAAAGTAAGATAGGGAAGGCCTTCGGAAAACAACTGCACTGGGCATCGAGCCGAGCTTGGTAAGGCTCATGCTGAGTACAGTGGAATCTTTCTGCAGTTTCTATATGCAATAACATTTATTAGACCTCGTAATGAGTGTAAAGGGACAAGATACGCTGGAGGCGGAGACAGATGCGGCCACATGCGGAAGGCGTGGCGGTCGGTTGGCCTGCCCCACTTCAATCTAGAGTTGGAGCTCGTTGTTGGCAAATAAAATGCCGTAAATACTACGATAAAATGAAGCTGCAGAACCCCATCCCCTCGAAAAAGGCTCCCTGCGTGACTCCCTTCCACATGCAGCAGCAGTCCCGTCACTTTCTTCAGAGCATTCAGCGCCTGACAGCCTGCATTCCTCCCATAAGCGTAAGACGCCAAACAATATCGAGTGCCCGCTGTGAAATTGAGTGAAACAGGGCCAGCTAAGCGTTCTGAAGGTCTCAACTGTCACACGGGCACCTCCAGTCCAGTTACTGCAGTTCTAGGTAAACACGCTGCTTCCGTGCCCCGGCGGTCACCATTTTGAGTGCCACGGTGGTGCACAGTACTCATCACCGTGAAAAGACCCAACCGTATTACTGAGCTGCCTACCCAGGACTAGCCAAGACTTAGTCTCAATACATGACATTGCTCGTTACCCTTAACGGCTCCTCACTAGGTCAGCACCATGTCTCTTGACTACGCCTGCTGGATCTACACTTGAACAAAACCTGACGCTCTGACAGTTAAGGAATATGAAATGATTTATGGCTGCATCTACACTAAGAACTGCCTCTCCGACACCTAAGGTATGTACCTAAGGTATGTAAAGTAATTGATGCATGATTCAGAGACCGGCAACCGTTCAAGATTGGTTGCATTCAAAAACAGTTTCGTTGGCGGGTCCCTCAAAACGCGCTTCGCAGCAATCCACAACGTGACTATGAGCGGTTACTTCGACCTTTTCTTGCTCTTTTTGTTTTCAGTTTTCACCTCGTCCCTTTTCTGCCTCTCTTTGACTTGCAAGACTTGCTTCACGCATTTTTGCTCCTCAACAAGGAAGGCGCGAAGAACCCTTTGTCCCAACAAACAAGCAAGCAGAAACAAACACATATTAAAGGGAGAATTCCTGATTTCGCTGGCCACATGGACTTGCGGCTAGCTCGCACGTTAAGTTCACATGGAAGACTTACTTCTCGCGCACGCAGGAGTGGCAACGCGTGCCACCATAGGCGCGGTTGACAGTTCTTTCACGCTTCTTCAAAAGCCTAAATTGGGGAGGGCGACGGGCCGGTATCTGCGCATCGCACAGCCAGACGAGCTCAGTCTCAGTTAGTAGGACGAAACAACCTTTCAATAACTTATGCGCCACAAAAAGACTACCGCGTGTTCAATGCCACTCAGATTTGCGCCTGCCAACCCAATATGGGAAGGCGCATCCGTAAGCAATCGATATAAACACGGAATTGAGTAGTGCTCAGTCGCGCAACAGCACCGACGCACCGCCACCACACAACTCCTACGGAGCGTTGTGGTGCGTCAAATTCACTATATATGAAGCACTACACAGAAAAAATTGAGCGGAAAACCTGGCCAAGATGCAACCTGCGATCAGAGCCGCCACGGTAGCAGCCTTGCATGGACAAGAATTGGGCCATCGAGTTCAACGTACACTAAAATTTGTATAATATGAGCAGTTGAACCGTGTTTCTTACCCCAGGAAGGAGCCTCCCGCATCCCCCACACTTTTGGCGAGAAGCCTGCTTGCGTACATTGAGGTATACGACCTTCGCGCCTGGGGTCTTGACGCGCCTCACTCGATTGGAAGCGGTGTTGTAATGATTGTGACGGCGGAAAACCAGACGAGTGGACATCTTCAGCTACGAAAGAAAGAAGTGGGGGCTGCGTAGTCGCGGCGTGCACACGGCGGCCTGATTCTGCACTGCGACGGCAGACGCTATTTAGGAATTGTTGAAGTACCCGCAGCCCACGTAATGCAATGGTCTAAGATGTCCATCTGAATGTTCTGGATGCAGAACAGCTTCCACCGCAGCAAACAGGAACGGCCTGTCATAGAAGCCCCACGCTGCATCACGCTTGCGCAGCATGCCAACCCACAGCCCCAAATGCTGCGGCGAGCTGTTGACTCGAAAACTTGCCAACTGTAATAAAAAACAGATTGGCATGCTGCTGAATGCTGACTGGATAGGGAACTTGGTAGGCCCGTTCCCGTTGTTACATGTTCTGGACTAGCTTTCGGAGATCTGGGGTCTGCCGTGAGTTCTGCAGACGCAGCTCCAGTTCGTTTGTCCTTCGCTCTTCTAGGACCTTTGAAATGCATCAAAGAACGCAGCTATGACTCTTGTGTTTAGCTGGATGAAGCTCTTAGAGTCTTCTCCATGCACACACTTTGAGCGATTAGCGGAACAACTGCAGCTGCCACGGCTGTTCACACCAGACACCCAATGGCAGATCATTATCACTTAAACTGCCAATGGCATCTCGCTTACGAAGTCAGCGGTAGGAGGAGCTAGTGCCACCTGAAGTTTTTCTTTACCGGGCGTGTTTTGTTGTTCGGCTTCACCCAAATTGCTTGCGTCGACCTCGGATTCCGTTTTCATTTGCTTTTTTAGTTCCAGGGTCACCTTGGTAACTGATTAGGAATCTTTGGGTCGAGGGCAGCTGCGTCAATGTCATCGTTACTCCCTCTTTCACGGCACCCCCTTCCTCACGATAGACTCTTGAAGTCAGGATCGGAACAGTTGCACCCTCCGTCAGATGCAGCATGGGAGGATCGCCGTACCAGTGCTAGGAGCGCTACGTCGTGGTTTACAAGCGGACCGCTGTTTGCAGATGGCACAGACGTGGATGATGATGACGAAGACAGTTGGTGCTGCTGTGAGCCACTGAATAGCACTGAGAGAATTCTTGGCTGGCTTACCTGCTTTCTTGGGGGGCTGATTCTCTCGGCAGTTTCAATGGGTAAGCTATGTCGCAGGTGGATTTCGACTTCGCACTGACCTTGCGGAAAGATGGTGCCGTAACGTCACCTCTCTTGAATAGCTGTATTGTGAAAATTTTCAAACGAAGGCGGGCACATGGTAGATAAGCCCAAATTCTGTACAAATGTTTAGTTCTCCGCGTCTGTGGTATACCTCTTCAGGTGCCTTCAATGACATGCTGCTAGGCAAAAACAACAAGTTCGCCGTCACATACACCATTGGCAACATAATTGGACTAGCAGGGACCTCCTTCCTAGTAGGGCCAATCCAACAATTTAGGAATATGGCTGACAAGTCCCGCCTTGTGACGAGCTGCATCTTTGTGGGCAGTCTAGTGGCCACGTTGCTCTCGAGCGTCTACTTAAAAGTTGGGCTTGTGATCGTATTTTTTGTGTGTATTCAGTGGCTTGCATACATGTGGTATTCGTTAAGTTACATACCGTACGGCCAGCGTGCGGTTTTGTGGATATTCCGCCGGCTGTCTCTTCGTTAGGGGTAGCCATGGCTGGTGGCGTCGATCAGTGCACTTCTAAGCGAACGCTGGTAGCTATAGGATGCTATCATGACGCAGTTGCAAGCACGATGACACTGGTGTTAATGGAGTATCGTTGATTCTGCACACAGCGTTTGGCAGCTAAACAGGTTTCCGGAGGATATACAAGTTACCTATGCAGCGACTGCCCCTGGCGTTTCTGTTCCCCGGCCCACTCCATTGTTGAAGGCCACATTTGCATTCCCGTGCGTGGGGTGCCATGAAACGAACCCCAATTTCCTTAGCTCCTATTTACAAACAGAAGGGATTGTCACGCAGGTGTTGAAAGGCGATAGCCTTCTTGAGGCTGCCTCGGCCGCACCGCGATTCAGGGCACCACAGTGTCATCCAGGGCACCGCAGCTCGAGTCATCCTAGGAAGTGCAGATATGGCGAAAAGTCACGAGATGAAATACGTCAATACACCTGTGCGGCTTGAAAGTCATACTGCCACTTTCTACTTCCCTTATTAAATATTAGCAGCGCACCCGGCTACAGCGCGGCACCGCAGTTTGTCAAGGCTGTCACCCTTGCTCATGAAAGCACACATTGATTCAAACGTTTCTGCGAGTGGCGCTCTTGGCACTCATGGCTGGCAGCGTGGTTTTGACAAGCCAACTGCACGAGCTTGTGACCACACGTGCAGTCAAATGCTGGGTGCCCTCGACAGCAGTTGCTGAACTACATGGCTTTCATCCGGTGCAGATGCGATGCGAACTGACGGCGGAACTACTGCCGAGCCGAACTGCTGTTGTTGCATGGCAACCCCAAGTGAATTTACTAAAACTTCGGGCCTTGCGCAAGCCGTGCGTTTCTTAAGCGGTTCTTCCGCTTCCAACCCAGTTTCCCACTTCGTTAATGAGGCACTTCCTCCAAGCCCCTCGGCATCCTCGAGATATTCGTCATCTGGATGACCTTCGGGCTGATCAGGTCCATCCACGTCATCAGCACCCTCCTCGCCTCGGTCCACCTTACGCTTCCACATAACTGCCGCTCCATACGCTGCTTCTAGGCCTCCAAATTTTCGGGTGCTAAAAATTTTAGCAGCGTCCCGTCCTTTGACAGCCACTTCCCAGCATGCACCCTTAACATTGTATGTAACTCCACCGACAGAAGGGAACTCTCTTGCCAACGACGCCAACGTGCGCTTACCCTGTTTCGTGGCACATATTAGTCGTTGCTTCCTCTTTGAACATGCATGCAAGCTGTCTTCTTCCAGCGAATCAGCGGGACCAAATGAGGCACTAAGTGCCCCTCCGCCATCGCCTGGGAGCCCGAGAACCCCGGGACCTCCGCGAGAAACTTTGACAGGCTGCGGGGTCACTGGTAACTCGTTCAACAGATCAGCATTCCCAGATTTCTGTGTTGCCTGCCGCTGCTGCCCTTCTGAAGAGTGGAGCACGGGAATAGCTCGTGAGGGGTCACTGAATGCTGGGAGCCGGAGAGACGCTGGGGCCGAATCCCCCAATAATGAGCTCACCAGTGCCAGTGCCGATGACGAGCTGTCAGCTAGTCCCAAATATCCAGAGGCCGAAGGAGCACGCGGCCCCAGAACAGGCGCCGTCCTGCTTTGCGCCTCCTGAGCAGCTGATGACTGCTGCAGCAACTGCTGTTGAAGCTGTTGCAGCTGTTGAAGCTGGTCCTCAAGCTGTTGCTGTAGCTGATGCTGCAGTAAGGCTTGCTGCTTTGCAGTCGACCCGCTCGAAGCCACAGCAGGAAGTGATGGCTGTGTTGTGACTGGCACCTGTCGTTGCATTGTGGGCTTCTGTGGAAAAGCCGTGGTCATACTGTCGCTTGGACACGTAGCTGTCGGTCGGTGAAGTGCCCCACGTGGGGAGTTCCTTGGCGTTGCTGTCCCGGATGTTCCTGTTTTTGTGTGCGTAGGGCTAGCGCTTCGAGCCGTGTAAGCGTTTCCAGCAATAATTGGGTCATGGCCTGCTGGAGCTTCGGCCCCTTCACTTGATAAAGTAAGACCGTCGAGCTTGGTTTTCACACATGGCTGCGGCAGCACGGCAGTGGGGGTCTGTATACCGCGGCTCCCAAGCGCCTCTGCAATTGCCGTAGTGGCGTCCCCCATGAAGAGTAAATCTGGCGCAAAGCGCATTCAGAAGCAGCTGAAATTATGTTCCTACTGTAAACGGAAATGCCTTACTACGGGCCTGCAGCGACGTTAGAAGCATCTTTTTCCGACAAAGCTCTAAAAATCAACGCAAAACAAGCAGCGAAACCAAATTTCTTGTCCAATAAAGCCTACCCGGAAGCCTCGTCGGCATCGAAGGCGTTTCCCGGCCAGTGGGTGGCAGCACAGGTTGTCCCGCAGCTCGCTGTGCTTCAACTTGAACGTTATTCACGGGCTTCGACGTCGCCATGCCCATGAGAGTCTGTCTTGCCTGAACCGCCAACCGACGGGCCTTCTCGAAACCATGCTGTTTGATATTGAAGCAGCTTTGCCTAGGCTGGCCTGCGGCGGAAAAAAGACGAATCAGCAGCGATGCACAGTCCTATAGTGCGAACAAGATAGTGTTCGTGTCTTCTGTGCGAACTCTAGCGATACTGGTTCCGCTAAAAATCAGTGCGTGACAGCAGCCATGCAATCCCTGATGACAGGATGCTAGCAAGTGCTGACAAAACGAGCGGGGCTGAAGGGTGCAACGAGACAGACCGTTGGCATCATTCCACTGCGCAACCCAGCAAGTGTGCTTTTTGCCTATGAAAACTCCCTTGACCTTGGGGAGCTCTGCTGCACGAACCGCATATTGCTGCCGCTCCGGACAGTCGCTCGAATTGCTGTTCCCTGCTTTCCCACTGCTTACAAAACAGTTGTCAGATCCAGTAGCGTTGCGCCGTCCACCGACTGCTGTGCTTGTGGGTGACTGACCCCTCCGTGAAAGACTGGCAGGAACACCAGAACCTTCAGCCATAGAGTTTCCCCCTCCAGCAGGGATTCCGTGCAATTCAGCTGCATCAGCACCGCGCCAGGAACGACTCATGCAAATCTACAGCGTGTGCAGGAACTGATTCAAGCCAATGCAAGACTGCCTGGAAATGTAATTCGACATCTTGGGCAATATTTTCGTCTTCGGTCCGCTACTTCCTGCTAAATCTTCTATCCTTATTTTTCCTCGCCCTAGATGACTATTCAAGCAGCCACGCTTATCTTAATAGTGAGGCACAGGATGTAAACGCACACTAATCTGTAGCGAAACCAACTTACCATCTCCATCTGCGAATGATGCGCCTTCTCGGTCACCCGACCAAGTGCCCTCAAACCCAAGCGTTCTGGGAGAAGCCTTGCCCCCCGTTCCGGTAGGGGGCAGTTGCTGGAGTGTTTGCTGCTGCGCATTGTTGCGTTGTTCCTTCGCTGAGCAAAGATGCTGCATCCGAGTCGTTAATGGTGTATGTCCGGAAGGGCAAACAGGTCCTCCTAGACTAGAAGCATTTGTGACAAGCTGGCCATTGTGTGCATCGCGAACCCCGCGAACAACAACACGCGGTGGACAGTGCGTGTTCCCCAAATCTCCTGTATGGAGTGAAGTGCTGCCGCTGTGCTCCCATCGTTGTCGTGCACCAGCTGCACCTTCAGTTCCGTGCCATATGCCCCCTGGAGGATCCGCATCAGGCTGCTCCAGCAAACGTTGGACGCGTGCAACGCTCGCCTTCAGGCTCTGGCGACGCCTATAAGCAAGACGAATGCAGTCTAGATCACTGAGGACTTCCATAAGCTGGTCGCGTGACCATTCCCGCGCATCAAAAGGAGACAAACACTGCAGAACTACGCGATAGCTTTGCAGCTCCAAGGAATCCAGTGATCTCGCTGCAATCGCAGTATTGAAGTGGAACCCAAAGTTGTCATCGCGTGCAGCCCACGACGGCGCCAACGAACGCAGCATTCTCAGAATTCTCAACACTGCTGACTTCTGCGCAGCTAGCTCAGTTCCCGAGGCGCACAAAAGAACAGCAGGGTCCAGCAGGGGTAGCGGAGGTGCCCACGAGACACTGCAGCGTCTGATGCTGGTGTCGGGAGCCGCCAAAGTGGCCTGGGATAAAAAGGCGCCTTTTTCCTCAGTCGCGGTTGCACTAATCTCCGCACGCCCTCCTCTGGGGCTTTGGCAGGAAATGCCTGTTCCTGTATCCTCCCCGCGCGACGCACGATCAGAGTGCAGAGTATCGGCAGCAGGCCCACCTTTCAACTCAGCTAAGCACGAAACTGCTCCAGGCGCCTCTGTCCACTGAAATGAGTTGCGCATCAAAAGCCTGTCCGGGTCATTGCGGAGCATTCTTAACTCCTGCACGAGCAAGTGGCGTGCTGATGAAGGTAAAGTAGACGGCATGCGGTAGGTCCCAACGCAGTCCCGAAAGATATGGGAATATGGAAGGAGCTCCGCAAATCGGTCAGCGCACGTAACCACTGCAACGTGATGCCTGAAAAGGGGGTGCAGCGACTCCTCTGACTCCTCTTTACTGGGATGAGAAGCATCAAAGCCAAATTTAGTGGCTGAGTTAGCAACATAAGTACCATCTGACCCATTTGGTGGGTTGTTATCCGGTACAACAGCTACATCTGGACAAACTGGGGATTCTGTAGGAGAGGTAAAGGTGGCGCCGCTTTCGGTACTTTTAATCGGCGTCCCGCTGCAGAGTTGCCCTTGCGCCGTTTCACAACCATATGGAGACGAATGCATACTGTCTTGGGCGGCCAGCGCGTCGCCAACTTCACAACGTAGAGACGGGGAAGACCGGGAGAGAATTGAAGACTCCACACAACGCAGCGCTGATTCCTTGGAACAGCTTGACAAAGTTGAGTCTTGGCAACCCGAAGAGCCCAAACGTAGGACCTCAGTAGTACGTGAGGGCTCTGCGCATCTGCCCGAGCCTGCACACTCTCCCGCAGAGCTGGCGGTTGCAGATTCAGAAACAACATGAAGCGTCCTTTTTATTGGGACGGGTGAAGGGCTTCTGCCACGTAAAGCTATGCCCTGCTGAGAAGGATCTCCCGTGCCTTCTTTTGCAGGCCCTGCCTTCCCAACAAAACCTGTACTTTTTAGCACTGCGCCCAATGAAGCGTTCTTTTGCCAATTACTTCTCAACAAGTCAGACGCACCAACGCAGCATCTACAAGAATCTGGGCTTGAGGCTGCTGCACAGCAGCAAATCGCAGCATGCAGATCCTCAAGCATTGATAACACTGTCAGCTGGACGTCTGCGAACACGCCTCCGGCATCCAGCGGAAGCTGCAGCACAGGACAGAAGCGCGCTCACAAGCGTGAGCTAGCGGTGGCAAGGGAGCACGGAGATGAATAACTCCGCTTCAACCTTAGCAGCCAACCGCTGAACTACGTCTGAGCTTGTCTGCAGTTTCACTGCGCTTGCTTACCCGAATAGCACCGTTAGCTCCATGTCCCGTACTGTTTAGCTTCTCCCGGAGTGAAACTGAGCTTTGCAAAGGTTCAGATATATCCTCCACTTGCTCGAATGAAGCATTAGCAGCGTGGGGCAGCGCGAAGCACGAGTCGCGAAAGAAGAATCCGTTTCCTGCCGAGTTGCCATTTCCAACGTCGGACGCGTCAAGCACTGCTTCGATGTCACTTGCTTGGAGAGTCTTACTGCAATTTTCCTCCTCAGAGCAAGATACTCTCACTGGTGAAGCCTGTAAACAGGAGCTACCAACATGAAGGCCACGTGACTCTCCAACATTGTTCTGCACAAAAATGGCAAATAGCCATAAAACCGATCGAGTTTCCTTTACCGTTGATACTGACTTCAAAAGCTCTGCCATTGACAAGCTCAATGCCTGAATGAGGATGAAGCTGTTGCAGTGGCTTACCTCCTCTAGCTTATCCAGCACCAATCCCAATGCATGCAGTAGCTCGTCTTTGTCCGCCCCACAGTCATTGTCTTTCGATGCTCTGGAAGACTCTGCGTCCTTCGCCAGCCTATTTTCACTTGAGGCAGTAGCAACAGGCGTCTTGCCTCCTGCTTCACTAGCTGGCGACATGAGAGCTGCGCCATTCGCCACGCTGTTGCATCCAGCGTCTTCAGCCAACTCCAAACTAAATCCAGCAATCGGCCCAGGTGTCGCCTTGCGGGTGGCACTGCGCCCCTTCTTGCACGCCGCAAGCTTCGTTGGAACCCGAGATTCCTTACTCTCTCCCTGGCTAGTAGAAACTTCATGGTTCAAAGCCGCCAGTTTTGCGCGCAGCTCCAAAGGAATTACACCATCAACATGCAGCCGCGAGCCGTCATCCTGCGCCCAAGAAGGAACATCTCCATGCAGCGCCAAAGAGTGGGACTTGCGCCCGCTAGGGCCGGTGCTGTCGCCTGACGAACTGTTCCGCCCGAAATCCTCTGGCAGCTGAGAGAAAAGCTCTCGCCGTAGGGCAATTTCGTTCGCTGCTTCTGTTTTGAAGGGTCCCAGAAGGGTGGAGTCTGTAGCCCTGACATCCGTGGCCGAACAAGGAAGCTCTGCTACGTGAGTATTGAACCCAAAAATGCACGACCGCATCAGCGGGCTGACATCCACAAATTCTGGAGCAGAAACAGCACTCCGCGGGCTGTTGCATTTTGGTTCGTTGCCGGCCGCAGGGGCGGCACGGACCGATTCGCGCATAGGTGTAGTTTCTGACACTTCCCTCCGTTCCTAGTTCATCGCCTTCCCCTGTTCTTGCACTCCAGAAAAGCCAGCACACCTAGTCAGTGGTACTTTGCCTTGTACCGAAAAGACACGCGAACTGTCAAGACGACAGCGCCACCTGATGCGCCTGTTGAGGCTTCGGAAATAAATCCTGCTATGACTTGCCCTTTCACGCGCAGGAAAATGAATATTATTAAATGTATTAAGTACGCGACACAACCCTCCCAGTCGGTAACACCTTCACTTGGATCAACTGCTTTGCGGCATACGCTCAACAAACGGACGTCAAGAGGGCGGACTCCCGATGAACCCCACGTCCCGTGACAAAATTCCCATATGGCTCACTTATGGCCTTTCTTCGATTACGTATGAACCACGAAAACTCTTCTAATGTGCGGCAAGAGCTAGAACGTGGCAGACGACAGCTCATGTAGCTTACAGGCACTTCAACGGGGCCAGAAGAGGCTGCGCATTGAAGCAGGCTAAATGTTTGGTGCAGTTACTGCCCATTACCTTTAAAAACACCTCAAGCTCCTCTGTAGCCACCTGCAGCCTTGAAGCGCCGCTAGTCAAGTACACAAGAAAGATCTGTCTCGAGCCAAAATGCTCCTCAAAGGTATCTCGAAACAGCAGTTTGTCACCTCACGCGAAACTTAGCATGTAAGAAGACGTAGTGAGAAACCCGTGAGAGCTTTTGTAGAGTTTACTGCATCGGGCAACGTGGGCCCGCGCAACTAGAAAACGCATGCAGGTTACTGGTGCAGACTCCAGAGTCTACAAAAGGAGAGGAAGCAGAGAGTAAACCCCTCAGTAATTCAGCATAAAGAGAATACTTGAAAATTCACTGACTGGAGTTGCAACAGAAGCCTGTAGGAGCCCAGAGGACACTTCAGATCTGCCCTGTTGACTCTGTGAGGGGCAGGCAGCCACAGGAGCTGAACAGAGGGAGGAGGAAAGCACTATGGAGAATCCCACAGATCAAAACAAGCAGTGCATTCTCATACTATCTCAACACCAGAGCGTCATGGTGAACCTAACCCCTCACGACAACAATCCAGCAAACCTTGCGCAAGCGGGCGATGCTCCGGCGAGTGGGAATCGCTTCGATGCTCGTGGGATTACGCTGAAAACGAGCCGCCACAATCCTGGTGTCCTCAACTAGAAATTGTCGTAAATGAAAAAGTGCTCATGAAAAAGAAAAGATCCCCAATGATAATCAATCACCGGGAAAACAGTGGCTCATGTTCAGGCACAGGCAGCGAATGCTGCTCCTGGGGGGTGGTGACTACGGCACTAATAGAATTTTCCAATGCTTAAGTTTTTCGCACTAATGAACTTTTATTCAGCTGTATTTTTCAAGTTTTCTGAATACTGCGCTTTGCCTATCTAACGGTTCTTCCTGGAGATTATCTTCATCATTCGCCCCTTCGAACTATGTAGTGGGGCAAAGCCTCGTTGTGTGGCTGATACCCACAATAAGTGTTACCATCGGACTGGTTGCTAGTGAGACACTTAGCTTGACTCATGCTCCCTATTTATTTCGATTGGAAGGGTTGTTCTTGAGACAGGAGCAGTTGTCTGCCTTTCTCGAACAGTGCAGCGGTGCAAATAACGCCCGTACAAGTGTGTCGCAGTAGTACTTAGTTACTACACTAGCTCGCTGTTGTAGTATCTTACACGTTTGAGCCTTACAAATTATGTGGCTATTGGTAGTATTTCCGGCATGGGGAGAGTCTGAGGCCGTGTCAACATTCACAGTATGTGCAAGAAGCTTTCTTACTCCGTTTGGCCCTCAGCGTGTAACTGATGCAGCTGATAAACCATACCCGCTAAAATGTATAAGGGAATTGATGATGCAGATACTAGTAAGACGAAACACTATGATTTGAATTAATGGCCAGTTACGCTGGAGAACATAACGACGAACAGGATCACCCAGATGCGCAATTGAATGTTTAGGACTCTAGCGTTAATTCCCCAAATTGCTCAGGACCCCTGACCTGCCAGCGGCAGCTCCACCTTTCCAAGCGTAGTCGAATAAATATCTCACGCTTTGAATTATTTTTCCTTGGTGCATGTAATTGGCCCGCCCAAGTTAGTTTGGGAAGAATGGCAGTGTAATGAGCTAAACGTAGGTCGGCTTGCACTTGTCTCACCTGCTCCGGCTGCATAGGCTCACACTGCTTAGTCCTAACTAGAAGGATTTCTAAGCAGTGAGGAAGGTTGCATCATTGTAAGTCGTCATTTCCAGGGATACAGCTTCTTTTTTCCGACTTGTCTGGTTCGGCGCTTGGGCATGTGGCTAACTACAGCCTCAGCAACTCTTCTAGCCTCAACTCCTGGGCCAAACTGCAGAGCACATTGGGCCTTATCACCCAAAAACTAAGACCCTCTGCATGCTTATTTCTTGACTTACTATGTCAGCATTTTGCAATTATATGACCCTTTTTAGTTGCATTGTAGGGCAGCGCACAATAGGCAGGGTTTCCGTAGGCAACAAAAGAGTTTAAAGCAGCCCCTTCTTTAGTCCCATTCCGATGATACAGGATAGAGAAATGCTACAAAAGTTTGTAATAAAACGGGATCAAAGGATCACCTTCGAGAAAACTTTGCAAAGTTTTCTCGAAGGTGATCCATTCACTTCACTAAAGCTTTCCACTCCTCCATCTACCGCCATTGATTTGTGCAAAAAAACAAGGTGTATTGCTGCATTGCTTCGGGGAGTGGGCGTTCCTTTAAAAAGCATAATGAAACGGCCCTAGGAAGTCTGGTGCAACTGGGAAACAATACATTAAAAAGGCAGAGTTTCAAGGGCTCCTAGTCCCTGTTCACTTCGATTCAACGCTGGGCTTTAGTGCAGGCAGCGCACTTAGCCTGGAGAGGGTGGCTCTATATACTGCACGGCCAACTGTCAGAAGAGTCCTGTCCCATTTTGATGTTGTCAAAAACGTTCACATACCCTTAATGTGTTTTCTTCCACGAAATAAAGGTAGCTGGGCGTGTCGTTAGGTGCTCCTAACCAAGCCTCCATGCATCGAATTTAGTTACCCACAGACGAATACGTAGCTGAAAAACCGGGCTCCGTCTGCGCACTGGAGCCGTTCCGGTAGTATGCAATCGCTGAATCCGCATTACTAGGCGTCGGAACAGCGTTAAAGCAACTTGATGCGCGTGGTGAGAGGTATATACATAATTTCACCTACACAACGGCAAAATGTCAGGTGGCAGCGCTGCTCAGCCCATTGAAGCGCATGGGATCGAGAACGAGGCTACGGTTGAATATTAAATTTGAGATGTGACAAGACTACGTCAAACACATTCTCTAAACAACGACCATTTCAAAAGCTTTGTGGGCCGATTCAGAGTGGAACATGCAATCATCGTCGATTCGACGTAATGGGTACCTCGCTTCAAATGAACAGCTCAAGAATGCGAAAGAATGCCATTCACAGGGAGCTGCAGTTGAATCGTTGGCTTCAAGTGGGACACTACCAAGAAAACGTTCATACGTCTGACGCAGATGGAGAAAGTGATGAGGTGCGGTGATATACAACGATTGATGGGGAATGAAGGTGAGTTGGCATTTAACAACAGCTTCCCCAGAATATTGGTCTCTTCCCTATAGCTCCAGCATCAACCTGGAGATCTCGTACAGCTTTGGTGTGGAAATTAACGCCAGGTTGGCGCATCAGGAATGATGATAAGAACTCGCCAAAAACTAAATGGAAAGCAGGTCCAGCATAGCATGCAGCGAAGCTTTCTCTCGTACTTGATCAGGATGAGTAACACATATTCTCATCCAGCTTTTTGGCCATTTTGACTCTAGCTCCCCGAATGTTGTAGTTTCAGTATGGAGACTAAATCAGCTTGTGACTGTCGTCGCGTATGTCGTCGACCAATGCATCCAAAGAGATAAGCTTTTTCAATATAGGCTTTTGTTCTAGTTTATCACAAGTATCCAGTATTCCACACACCTTACGTGGGAGCAACGCAATAAGCGGAAAAGCTTACCTAAGCGGAGCTCCGCAGCAGCTAGCTTTCTTTTTTATGCCACTATTTAAGCATTGATTTTCAGCATATAAGGCGCATCTGAGCGCAAGGTTTCCTGGTGTCTTTACTCATGTGCTATATGCCAGTAACGATGACACAACTGCAGGCAAACAGCGGCAGAAGGAAGCCCTTCTGTTTTTGACTAATTTTGACTAAACGTCAGCAATGGCTAAGCATGCTAGAATGCAGTACAGCATCCCTTCAGTCGTGCGTACACAGAAAATTCGACACGCCAAGTTGCAAGCCTGCGGATTTCCTCCAGGTGCTTATTAGCTCCTTAAGACGCCGAATCCACGCCAATTTAGATTTCATTTCCAACATCCCTCTCACCAATGCCCTACACCCTAGTGATCCTTATTCAGCATATGACGCACTGCAGTGCATAGCGTCGAGTTTCTTGCTACCTGGTTCTTTCGCTGTAACAGCATTGCGGAAGTACTCATTTCAGGCATAAATGCCAGGTTCCACAAGGATATGTCACAGCAGTTCTGCGCCCGTTCCAGTATTTAGCGTTTGGTGCCACATGATTACCAGCCCTGGGGTTGCGCTAATACCGAACGCACCATTCCAGCTTCGAAACAGATGCATGATGTAGTATACAGCGCCTTCTGCTGCGTATACATTGCTACCTGGCCCACGAAGAGGGCACCTTATGAAAAACCTTCTACCTTCAACGCATCTCTTACGGAACAAATACCCGAATTTCAATAAATATAGTCTTCTTCTCATGCCCTGGAATCGATTTTCCCTAAAAGTCTCCCACTCAAGGTTCTTGCCTCCTTGGCCCTGTGGGGAGGCCTGCACCGGTGCCCGCTGTTGCCAGCCCCAATCTCCAGCTATTCACAGACAAGTCTAGTGTATATATGCTAATTTGCTAATAAACTGCCTTACTTCGATACTAGTAAGAAGTTCCTGTCCTCGTTCAGCGTGTTAACCTCTCATAGGTCACCAGCTAGCTTTCTTCTTGCGGTCACCAGCAAGCCCTATTGTAGTGCCTGTGCACTACACTTAGTGGGTCAAGAAATTCGAAAGAGTGCACATCGCAGTTATTGTGCCTCCTCTCGAACTAGTATATAACATAACAAGCCATGTTTTCACGGAGTCCTCCCTTCTAAAGTGATGTGTACTCATAGCTTCCTCACTATAGCCTATCGTGATTGTTGACGCTTTGACCCCTACGCTTAAACCTCACTACAGAGCTGTTCCAATAAAGTGCCCCGCGGTTGAGCGCATATTTACATGCTACCACAGACTCAAGGCAGGGTAAGTGTGAGCACGCGGTTAGGGACAAAGTTCGCTTCAGCAGCAAGCATCTACTGGCCATCAAGGAATGCGTTGAATTTGCTCGTCATATTGCTCTCCGTCCATGGACACAGAGCCCATCGGTAAGCGTACTTACCGTGTCTCGCACTGAATTCTGTCACAATCTTTTGAACATCTCCCAATCGTCCAGCACTTCCTCCGCGGCATGGCCTCAAAAAACTCTGCTGTTGCTTGGCTTTGCGCACAGGATGCGGCCATCAATCCAGCAGATTAGTAAAACGTTGGCAGCATCATGAACTAGTAGGCAGGGGAGACAAACTTATGTATGTTGTGAAGCGACGAAGTGAATCTGAGAAACGGGAAGCCTGAAAACTTCCCAATTTAATCAACGGATGCTTTGCTCCCCCACGAGTTCCTAGTCGCTGCCTGCGCAAACACAAGTGGGCCTCATCCACGCTCTCTGCTTCCTGCACTCGCTTTCCCGCCGAATGTCCCAGTCTCTACACACTTTCTCTGACACTGAGTCTGTCAGCTTCCTTCTGTACTCCTCTTGTAGTGTGCTACATTCTTACTATAAACGCTATAAATTTGTTTTTCGTTAATGGTTTCGCATTCCATATAAGAGGCTAGGCCACGCGGCCTACAGCTGCCGAACAAAAGGCAGCGCAGAGCGTGAGCATGCATTCGTTCCATATTTCACACGCATATGAAGCATGTTAACATCTACGTATGGCCGCATACACAGATACACACACGCGCAAAGAAATAAGTTCATGATTGTACGACAAGCTAGTGCAGGCCTCAGCGGCCCTCCAAGGAGAGGTTACGGTGGAAGCTCAGACAGGAATCATAAAAGTAAATATACATACAGCAGATGAGAAATGGCCGTGATAAGACAGAATAGATGGCGAAAATAGTTAACATAAAATACGAAAAGCAAGTTTGCGCATAAGTGTTAAGTTTTCGATGTGTGCACATCACTGCAGCGGAAGCTGCAGCAACAATGGCCGGAGCCAGCATAGCAGCAGCTGCCATTTTTTTTGCGCAGCATCAAATCTTGCAGCAACAGATATGAAGGAGGCTACCGTCTTGGGACTTACGGATATCCTGTACAGGGATCCTGATTGCAATCAAAGGCAAGTGAACGCCGGCTTAAAGAAACTTCAGAAGAGACAGCGTAGTGCGCAGGCACTACAATAGTGCTTGCTGGTGACCTATAGTGGATAGCTAGCTGGTGATCTATAAGCGGTTAAGAGGTTAAGACGCTGATCGAGCGCGAAAACTTCCTAGCAGTAAAATAGAAAAGCAATTTATTAGAAAAATAACATGTACAAACTAGAAATGTCTACAAATACGCTAAGATGGGGGCTGGCGACAACGCCGGCACCGGTGCGGGTCACATCCTCACCGGGCCAACAAGCAAGAACCATGAGGAGTGACTTTTATGAAGTGTGGTTTTGAGAACTTGAAACAAAACGGTCATTTTAATAAATTGGTAGACGTTACACGACAGATGCGTCGATAGCACAGAGGATTTCATAGAACGCCCAAGTTGCGGGCTAGGCAGCATCGTGGTCACTGCAGAGAACGCGGAGTACTAAATTTGAGGGTGTTCCGGGATATAAAAAGTACTTTTTCCGGACCTGAGGGTACAAATACTTTGCCTTAATAATTCGCACCTAGATATCTCAGCTCAGTAAGGAATGCACCTACGCAACGGAAGTGTAGTCGGTCCTATGCAAAAGGACACTTCTACAATGTCAGTAAACAAATTGCCCAGAGAGACGCCGACCCATCCTCGTCATGCTACTCTGAAACTCACCGTGGCAGAACGGCCGCGTGGGCATAAGGAGACACCCCCGCAGGTGGCGCCTATAACCAGTGTTACCAGTATGCAAGGGGACAGTCCCTACATCACGTGGGACCAATTCCAATCCGCTACAAGTGTAATTAGAACTGTTATATGCGGGACCGGGGATTCGGGCGTAACGTTTCCCATACTACCAGTGGACGGCAGTACTATGCAGGCCTTTCTGCTGCGCATCGAGCGCCGGTACACCCAGAGGGGATTGGAGCCGCGCGAGTGCGGATGTGGTACACTGCGTTCTCTACAGCATCTACGATGCTGCACGACCCTCAACTCCGGAGTTGTATGAAATCTTCTCTTCTACAGACACATCAGCCTCCTAACATCAATTAAATTATTAAGAAGACCATTTTGTTTCAAGTTCTCAAAATTATATTTCATAAAAGTCACTTCTGGTTCTTGCTTTGCTGGCCCGGTGAGGATATAACGCGCACCCGTGCTGGCGTTGTCGGCAGCCCCAATCTTAGGGCATTCGCAGGCATTTCTAGTTTATGCATGTTAATTTGCTATTAAATTGCTTTTCTATTTCACTAATAAGAGGTTACACTGCTCAATCCGCGTCTCAACCTTTTAACCGCTTATAGGTCATCAGTTAGCTATCCTCTAGTCACCAGCAAGCCCCATTGTAGTGCCTGCGCACTACAGAGGCTGGACCACGTTGGAGAGCAAGAGTAGTAGGCAGTCCAGCCGTCCTAGCACTGAGAAGACGGAACGATTAAACAAGGGGGCCTACGCGTGGTTGAATACGAGCGTACTAGGCCGCCTAGCCATAGCAAAAGGATAATGTATGCGGTAGCTGTAGTGCACTGCACCCGCAGCTGCGACTACGTGCTTTCAGTCCCTTGGGCAGGGTCTATAAACTGCACCCTACGCTAGTCCATTTCCTAGAAACTACAGCTATTGCGATTAAGAATACAAAATCATGAGTTTTTCAATTCTGTCTGTCTGTTTCGCACCCTCCTGGGAGCTCGCCTCCTAGTCCCTAAGGGAGGGAGGCTTGCCCTGTTGCTGGCGCTGTCTCCAGCCCCAGTCTCCACGCAATTCCACGAATTCCGTGTGCATATAAAATAATAATCACTTTCTCTTACTTTTTGTCTGGTAAGAGGGCCCTGTCTCCCTCCAGTCTTGCGACCCCTCGTAGGTCGCTGGCTAGCTATCCTCTCTAGAGCACTAACCAGCCCCATTGTAGTGTCTGTGCACTACAACTTCCCCCCTTGCCGGACTGAAATGACCTACCCCAAAATGCATTATTTTGCCTTTTCAATCTCTGTGCTCGTCGAAAGCTAACGCCGTGAGCGCGCGCCATGCGCAGCGCTCTCTCCCCCCCTCCTCATTGAAGGGTGCCCGAGCTGGAGGAGGTGGAGTACAAGGGAGCCATACCGCTACGCTTCGGAAGGGCCAATGTTGTTTCGAGCTTGAAGACGTCTTCGTTGGCGGCGGCGCCAAGCGCGAAGCAAAGCCGGGCAGCCGGTAAGATGGTTAGCTGGTTCCCATGTGGCTTGCTCTTCAGGGGTCCCGCGCCACTTCACGAGGTACTGAGCTGCATCTCCCGAGCCGCTTTGGTCCATAATATAGTCGACTTCGTATTCATCTGTGGGATTGCCTGCTGCATCGTGGATAGGAGGCCAGGCAGCGTCGGCTGCCGAGGGAACCAAAGCAGGAGGGCGGGGGCGGTGGGGAACTAGCTGTGAAACGTGGAAAACACCATGGCATTCATAAGTGGGAGGCAGAGCGAGACGGTAAGCAACAGTTCCTATGCGTTGGAGGACTTCGAAGGGTCCGCGGTAGCGGGGCTCGAGCTTAGGGCAGCTGTTGAAAGGCGGTAGGTGCTTGCTGCTGAGCCAGACCTTATCCCGGTGACGTATAAG